TGGAGATTTTCTGGATCCGCCCCTGGTCTGAGTCATTCTCAGTCTGTCTGAGTCGATCGGAATCGATTTGAGTTGGTTGAGTCAGTCTGAGTCAGTTTGAGTCGTTCTGAATCTATCTGAGTCGGTCCAAGTCGATCTGAATCGGATTGAGTCGGTCGAGTCAGATTGAGTCTGCCTGAGTCGGTTTTAGTCTGCCTGAGTCGTTCTGAGTCTGTCTGAGTCGATCGGAATCGATTTGAGTTGGTTGAGTCTGTCTGAGTCAGTTTGAATCGTTCTGAGTCTATCTGAGTCGATCTGAATCGGTTTGAGTTGGTCGAGCCAGTTTGAGTCTGCCTGAGTCGTTCTGAGTCTGCCTGAGTCGATAGGAATCGATTTGAGTCGGTTGAGTCGGTCTAAGTCAGTTTGAGTGGTTCTGAGTCTATCTGAGTCGGTCTGAGTTGGTACGTTATCTTCTCCTACCCGGTGACGTCACAGCATGCGTCGGCTTGGCACGGCCGCCACAGGTGGGGTGCGGCTAATGGTGGTATCTCGCTTTGGTCGAGTTGGGCTGCAACTTGGCGGTTTCGCAAAAGCGTAGCCCACAATTAGCCGCACCCCCGCCGAAGTTAGTTGGTAGCACTGCTGCTGCACGGCGTACATTTCCTACCAGCCCATAGGGTTTACATGTTAAATGGCCTGTTTTCGGCGAGCGATATCTCGGTAAACCTTTGAAGGAATCAATGGTTCTTAGTCTCAAATGATAGATCGATGAATTTTCTTTCGACAATTCCTCTACCATTTTTCACGAAACCCAGCCGATCTTCTACGGCGTACAGGGTAAAGATTTCTCTGCACGCCAGCACCCGCGATCCGCCTCTCCGATCGTCGGTTCGCGGTCCTCGGTAGCGCAGTCGGTAGCGTATCGGGCTACAAATCCGAGGGTCGTGAGTTCGAATCCTGGGAGTGCCACGTGATTTCGGCTAGAATTAAATGATGTAGATTCTTGAATGTTTGCATAATCAATTATTAATAGCTAATTGAATGTATCTGCCCATTAATCGGCCCTTAAAACCTGTTATTTAAGAAATTTAAGAAATGATTGTCACGTGCGCGTCACGACTGCCAACCATAAGCGCTACCATATTCTAGATTGAACTAACTTTTTGCTAGTCCCGACCACATATAGTAGGTTTTCTAGTAGTTATACTAGAAATTCCTACCAAAGTTCGTCCTACCCTTCACTCAATATACCCTGCGCTGAGTGGTGCGCTCGGCGGGTGGAGCTCGGGGCTGAGCGGTTGGCTCGCCCAGGGGAGCTCAGGGATGAGCTGGCGGACAGTTGGTCCGGCCTGATGGGCAGTCAGTGTACTAGCGTGTGTAATGAGCCGATGTGCATAGATTAATACATTAGTTAACTGAGCCGTGGTGTTTACCCGAGAATGCGTGTTCCGAACAACTGGCGCGGTCGGTAGGACGGTTCGGACACTAGCGGACACGCATTCGTTGGGTTGTACCATTTAAAGTAAATTTTTTATTTCTATTTTATTTTGAATCGGCTCAGTAGAGTAACGTAACATGGAAAGAGAAATTTTACTTTTAGCTAACTTTGAAAATTTCACGGGGGTAAATAATCAATCATGGGGTCGGTGGTACCGACGGTTTCGGGCGAAAACGATCGCGTTCTCAGAAGAGAATCGGCTGCAGGGCCTGGTCAGCCTGCTGCAAGATGGCGCCCTGGACTATTTCGCCTCGCTGTCGGAGGATGTTCAAGGCAACCTGCAGCAAACGGTGGCCGCGTTGGAAGCCCGTTTCGGCACAGCGAAGAACGCGATGCAGGCGCACGCTGAGCTGGCGAGTATCCGGCAGCAGCCCGGTGAGGCGACGCGAGACTTCGCTGACAGGGTGCGCCAGACAGGCCGTGAGGCGTACCCGGGAGCGGCAGCCGGTGACCCGGCCGTGGAAGCGACCGTCGTCAGCCGCTTCGTGGGCGGCCTCCGTGAAGAGCAGCTGCGGGTGCGGGTCCTGACGAAAGACCCGGCCAGCCTCATCGAAGCCATGAAGGCCGCCAATAAGTTCGAAAGGCAGCAGGACGCACTCCGAGCAATGCGCCCGCCCAGCGAGGGCGAGGCGTTGGCGGTCCAAGACTGGGACGCGCCCGGCACCGCTCGGCTGGACGCGCTGGAGAGGATAATTGGAGAGCTGCAGCGCGCTCTGCAAGCCCTTGAGACAGCGGGAAGGCGGGACGCCTACCGCACGGGGCACGGGACAGGGGCGAGGAACCCCCAACGAGGACCGCCAAACCCGAACAGGCGGGGTAGCGGGCGCCGCTGTTTCCGTTGTAACAGCCCTGACCACTTGATCCGTGACTGTCCGGCGCGGCACACACACGCAAACGAGCAGGTGGGGCGGTCCTTCCCACGCGGTCATCAGCAGGCGGGCCTAGAGTGGGCGGAGCGCCCCCGTGGTCCGTCTGAGGAGGCCGGCGGATGGACGCCTTTCTGTCACCAGTGCGGCCGTGGGGGGTCAGCGATGGGCGGGACGCCCGCCTGCCCCGGCGACTGCGGCTGAGAGCATGCCTGCCCGCCCGGTGATGGAGGGCCCCACAGCGCACGCGGCCCACTGGCAGCGGGGGGACACACCGGCAGCGGGGTGCGACCGTGAGTGGCAGCGGAGGGTGGCTGACCCACCTGCCTTCTACAGCATCCCCACGGCAGGGCAGCCCACACAATCGAGGGATCGTAGCGCGACAGGACAGGGGCAAGGGTGCCCTCCCACACCGTCGTTCGTGTGCACGGTAAGGTCAGAGCCGGCGGGCAGCGAGGCTCCGCCAACATCCCAACCCCCGCTCGATGGAATCGGGCATCGCGAGCAGCCGGGGACCGCGAGCACTGGTTTGGTGAGGCGCTGCGCACAAGTCTGCGCGCGGGCGGCGGCCCTTGTGACTGGCACCGTGCGAGCCGTCTTTCGGTCAGCGGGACCTAACCGACGGCTACAAAGGCCGACCCTAGTGGCCTCACGCGTGGGCCCAGTCGAGCCCGACGCGTCCGGGGCGAGCCGTTGCGGGGGCGGGCAGCCCAGCAGCGGCTGCGTCGAGGTCACGGTGACCTCGAATGGGTCAGAGTCGGATAGCGTGAGCCGCGAGGGCGGGTCGCCCAGCATCGGCATCGCAGGCCAACCTGACCGGCAGACCGCCCCGGTCAGCGGCGAGGTCAACTCGGCTGGCGATGTGGCGGGCGAAGAAGCACGCGCCATCAGCCGTCCGGGCGTCGACGGCGACGCAGGGGACGCTAGTCCGGTGGAGTGGAGCGGCACGCAGAAGGCGCAAGACGAGAGCCCACCACACAATCACGCCCGACAGCGCCTCAGCCGTCAGACGCCTTGCAACACCTCTGTGCTGGAAAAGTGGGGCAGGGCCTTGGACTCTGGAGGTCAGAATGATCGAGTGGTGAGGCGGGAAAGGCCCGCCCCACCTCCAAGGGCGCCGGTGCAGATCGAGCCGGCCACACGCCCCTTCGAACGCGAAGCTGGTGACGAGCGCGACTGCCGAGCAGCAACTGGAGGGCAGCCAGAGTTCGGCCTGCGACACAAGGGCCCGTGGGGCCACGGAAGAAAAGAACAAAGAGGGGCCACCTACCGAGTGCGGAACAGCGCCGGTAAAGCCAAGATGTGGCAACACGAATGCCTGAAGACGTATGATGGACGAACGTGCAGTTTGCCGCGGGAGGTGACCGCCGTATGGTGCGCACGGCACCACCCGGATCGCGGCGCGGGACTCGAACCGCCTCCAGCCGCCCTCAGACCACCGGCGCCGTACCGAATGCGGCACGGGTGGCTCAACCGTCGTCTTGCACGGTACCAGGCGGGAGGCTCGTGAGCTGCCGAGACTGTAGACACCGAAGCGTTCGGTGGACCCGATCATTGTGCGCTCGAGAACGTGTTTAAAGTTTCCTTTGTGTGTGTGTACGCGGGTCATGTCGTTGTAGTGATTGTAGTATATGTTTTTGTTAAATGTTGTACATACTTGTAAAATGTGAGTTGTCGTACACCTCTCTTGTGTAGGGGGGGTGTGTGTTGGGGAGCGGCGGCCGTTCGTATCGGCCGCCGGCAGCGTGCGCCGGCGCTGCAGCCTGCAGTTTCGGCCGGCCAGTGACGTAGGTGACGTGGCGGCCGCTGATTGGTCGGCGGGCGCCCAGCCCCCCTATATAATGCGGCGCATCGCCGGCGGCGGGAGACGCTGAGTGGTGCGCTCGGCGGGTGGAGCTCGGGGCTGAGCGGTTGGCTCGCCCAGGGGAGCTCAGGGATGAGCTGGCGGACAGTTGGTCCGGCCTGATGGGCAGTCAGTGTACTAGCGTGTGTAATGAGCCGATGTGCATAGATTAATACATTAGTTAACTGAGCCGTGGTCAGTGGTGTTTACCCGAGAATGCGTGTTCCGAACATACATTATTTACAACATTGACCTTTCAAGGTCAGATTATAGATCATTCGTCGCGTCTCGGTGAGAGGAACACGATTCTGGCAATAAAAATGTCGTGGCCTTTTTAAGTTAAAAGTTATTGTCGAAAAACACTTTTGAAAAAACAGCTATTTTTGGAGTTTTTGCCCTCTGGAGGCTAAACCGTTGACCTGAGGTCATTGTTGATGATGACCTTATCAAAAGAGGAGTTAAAAAGATATCAATCGCTTTTCCATGCGTTTTTCAAGCTATCATAGTTCCTGAGATGATGGCAAGTTTTCTGAAAAAATATAATGACAATTCGTAAATTTTGACCTTTGATGACCTCTGGTGACCCCAATATTGCTCTTAGATGAAAAATGACTAACATTTCAAACGTACGCATTGAGAGCTATCGACTGCTTTTTACCGCGTCTTTCTAGCCCTCTTAGTTTTTGAGTTAGAGGTGGGTGGTGACAAATCCCCCCCCCCCCACACACACACACACACACGGCGAAGTTGGCTGAGGCCGCCACTGGGGCGCGGGCTAACTGAGGTGGCTTATCATACAATATGCTTTTTTCAGAATTTCTTTCACGGCCATCTAGTGAAAGCGTCATTCTTTCACTCTGCGATGAGCCTATGCAGGAAGCGCTATAATAACCCAGCTTTCATCGTGACCAGCGATGACAAACAATGGTGCAGGTAAGCATGTAAGCAGAAAGAAACTGTCTTGATTTGCCCGGGTCGTTGGCTGATAAGCCGATGTCTTTGCCAAGTATGTTCATCCTATACCCAGCTGGATTCATGGATAGATGGAATGTATGTACCTGATATTCACACTAGCCGTTTTCACGATGACCATCTGGTACATACAGGGTCTTTCATAATGAATGTTACTTTTGAAAGAGCTATTTCTCAGGACATATATGTTCATCATGTAATATGTACCATCACATGAAACAGAAACATATTAGCGTTTTTGCACACACAACTTTCATTTTAATGCTCCTCAGGAATTTTCCACTATATCGCCCTTAATTAAGACACACGTTTCGGCCCTCTGACGAAGGTGTTGCACCCCGCGCCTCACAACGTCTGGGTCCAGGCTTCCAGAAAACCTCTCCAATGTGGTTCGCAGTGGATGGCTGCAGGAGCGTTTTGTCTCAGATTTGCCAATGCGACTCCCCAAAACTAGTAGTCCAGCGGGGAGAGGTCAAGACTCCGTGGTGGCCATAGTCGCTCGGTGAGGCGGCTGATAACGCGCTCTTCGAAATTTTTGATCAGCCACTGGCGCAACAGCTGCCGTGGTGTGCACTGTGGCACCATCCTGCTGGAACCACAGGCCGTCTCTTTGAACCTTGTCCTTGACCTGAGGCAGAAGCATTCCTTGAGCAGCCTGAGGTAGGCCACCCCGTTCAGTGTTGACCCAGGGGAGAGCCAATGGATGAAGACTTGTCCGTCGACCGTAATCCGTAATGCGTTTTAGTGGTGTCGACATACTCTGCTTTTGCGTGAAGGAAATATTGGCGTTGTGATTTTTTTATTTTTGGGACAAAACCCTAATCAATTTGCAGCAATACGCATATAAAATTCACGTGGAAGTGATAAATTAAGAGCTCCTAACTAAATGTTCAAAAGTAGCATTCATTATGAAAGACCCTGTATGTATTTGGTGCACATTAGGTGGAGATTTGGTGCAGATTTGGTCAAATTGGGCTCAGTGTGTTTCCTAAAAGTTATCAGTGCGGGCTGCTCAGATGCTTATATACCTTATTTTCGAATTATCAGATTTTATTAGCGATTATAACACTAAAATAAATTCATGATACGAAATGTCAATCATAAAAAACATAGGGGAAGTTGGGGGAACGCCGAATACTTTTTTTCTGACGCCCGTAGCACGCAAGGTAGACAACATAAGCTATTCTTGTTGGCGTCATTCGAGAGGCCAGTCTTTTGTCTTTCAAACATACCAGGCGCATTTGATGAATTCGCATACCGTTAAGCGCAAAAACTAAAAATATCAAAGAACTGACTTTTTCGGCGTTGCCCCGGACTGCGGGGAAAGCCGAAAATGGGATAAATGATCTACGAGGAATGCAGACATTGATGTTTTGCCAATTTATCTCAAACTTTATCCAAAATTCATCAAAGCTGACACGCGTTTTAAGAGCTTGAGGACGCTTGGTGCACACTGGAAGTTATAATTGTGTGATATGATAAAAAAATGCTAGGTAAATCATTCCTTATAGGTAACAGGCCGTTGTGCCGGCTGAAAGTGTAATTTGTTTGATTAAAAATACGCGTTGCTATTCTACAGCAGTAAGTCCACGTAGCGTGCTTTAACCCGCGAGTTGCTGGGGGGGGGGGGGCGTTAAACGCCCCCACTTTTTTCGCCGGGCCATAGCATAAAAACGGCGCGCCGCAGGCGCGCCAAATTTTGGGTACCTGTGGGGAATTAATTGACGTTTATTGTGACAAAGTTTCAAAAAAATCGGTCGGAAAATTTTTGAGATATCGAGGTTTTAGTGACGTCATGATTTCTGAGTTTTCGACCAAAAACGGCATATGTTCAAAAAATCATATAAAATCACAGAAAAAACATAAAGACATGCCGTAAACGCCATTAGACTGTCAATACCTTGAACAATCAAATGGCTATCTTCGATTATTGAGTATCGTTCCGAATTTTCCAAAATCTTGAACTGAATCTTGGCAATTTCTCGTGACTACTTCACGACCATGATACATGCATTTCTTAAATTGAACTTTTTTAGCCAAACACGTACACATATGATAAAATGAATGTCACCATCGTGTTCTACGCCCCAAATTACCCATAAAACATGTGTCACAGGCTGCGAATATCAGTTTTGATTTTCGGGGATATGTGCCTACCCGGTTGACCTGACCTTGACCCTGACCTATGCTTGACTGACCCCTACATGGAGCTGACACTCTTGTAGGCCTTATATGATGGATTGTGCACCGTTTTGACAGAGTTTATGACGAGAGGCGCCCATTGCGAAGTCCTGAAGTCCATACTACTGAAAGCCCGATTTCAGGTGTTTGACCTGACCTTGACCCAACCTGTGACCTCAAAATTCAACTTTAAAATACTCATCTGAAGGGTCTCGTCGCCTTCTTTCGTTTGCCGCCTCGTGCGTTTCGCTGCGCCTATTGGTTCTCGAGTTATCGGCTGGGGGCGTTTAACGCCCCCCCCCCCAGCAAACGGTGGGTGGCGAAATACCCCAGCAACTGCCGGGTTAACGTGCGTAATTGCACGTTTTCGGCATTACCCCAGCCAGCCATACTTTCATTTGCAGGCCCATAACTTTTAAACGTGCTGTATAAATTTCAAATAGGCAGCACACTTATGCAAAGACATGCTGAAGATTACTTGACCGAATTGGCCAGACAAACGGTAGCATAATGAGTAAGAAATGCAGCTTCAAAGGCGCATGTAGTACAAGGGAAACGTACCTTGAAAACGCTTTTGGCGCCCTCACAGCCGAAGTATTCCAAATGACAACTCGTAACAAACATGCGATAATTGTAGTCACTTAAGCTTCAGAGCATCACTGAGACGTGGCATCCATGTCGTACGGTTTTAGAAATATCTCGAATTTCGGCTTTGCCCCAACTCCGGCATTGCCCCAACTTCCCCTACGATATGTAATGTAATAGGGAGTTGGTGCAGCTCTCGTCAAATTAGGTGCATAATCACAGTTAGCCCGCAGTAAAAACGGCTACTGCCAGATATTTAGAAATAAACGTTTTATGCACCATGAAGCATAGTTACATTTTTCATTTCTTAGAAATTTAGTCCAAATGGTTGAATAGTTGACAATGTACATTAGTGGCCCCCGCGCCCCACTGGGGTCTGTTTATAACACGCCCTACTGGGGGGGGGGGCTATTCATAGCTCCCCCTCTTAACTCCGAAACTACTGGGCCGATCGTCAAAATTCAAACGGCATCTGATAGCCCCGGAAAACTGTCGAACGAAACCTAATTTCATTGACCTCGAGGTCACCGATGACGTCACAGGTCAGGTCAAAGTAAAAATTATCGATATTTGGCTTGTTCACATTTTGGGCTCTGGCTGCCGCCTTACAAGTCAGATCAGGCTGATTTTTGGTTTACACACTCGTGAACAGATGCTTTAGATACCCTGAGGGTAAAAAACTTGTACTTTGATTTTCAGGTCAGGGTCAGGTCATCATAGGTCACGGAAATCTTATGTCATAAGTCGGTCACGTGACACATGTTTTGTGGTCCATTTAGGCCATATATTTCGAATTCGGTGTCACCTGTGTCATTAGAGGCCATTTTCATCTGAATATAGCTGAGGTCAGGTCACTTTCAGGTCGAAAAAGGTCAAATTTCAAAGTTGAAATTTTTCAACAAAAACATATCTATCGGATGCAGTTTGAGCTCAGGAACACGATGCTGCTATTTATATTGGTTAAGATGTCAAATTCGTACAGACAATTGATTTAAAAAAATAAAATTGTGAATTTTTTGCTATAATGCGCATAACTTGGCCATTTTTGAAGATATCTGGCTAAAAATTGCTAGAGTAAGTCATAGGCATGTGCTCTATCATATATTTTCCGCTTTTTTCTTCAAAAAGTCAAAAAGTTTTTGAAAAAATATAAAAATACAAATTTTAAATTTTAATATATGTAATTTCAACATTTTCAATATTTTGAAAATTCAAGATAGCAGTTTGATAGCGCAGTCCATGCTGAGTCCCATCATGCAAAGAAATTGGATCTAGCTCAAAAACTGAGCTCTTGGGATCGATCCCCGTGGTTCAATGTTTTGCATCGAAAAAGGCCAAACATGACGTCACTCTGACGTCAGTTTCGGCCGACCTATGATAGATACGAAGTTCAAATTTTGACACAAGGTGTCACATTGATGCAGCCAAAGGTACTGATAGTTTGGCGGCGATACGTTAAGCTGTTTAGAAGTTATTGCAGAAAAACGGGAGGGGGCTATGAATAGCCCCCCCCCCCCCCCAGTGGGGTGTGGGTTAAGCGGAGCTTGCTACGTTGCCAAAAGAACCCGCTGCACCCGACCTGCGCTGGTAAGTACGCATATTAAAGTGATTTTTCCCTGCTGCAAATGCGTTTCATGTTTGGTTGTAAATCCTGAGAGCCTCACCTGAGACCTGATTATATTTTTATTTTATAATTCCATCCACCGGATACGGCTTAATTTTAGATAGTAGAGACGAATCACTCAGAGCTTGTGAAAGTCCTGCGGATGACTACTCTTCGTGGCGAAAAAGTCATCAAACGGCTTGCATGACATCTACATATATCGGTCAGAGATAATTAGAGTCAGAGGTGATCCAGTGGGGGGTACAACCACAGAGCTGGACATAACCGAACGTCTATAGGTACATAGATGAGCCGGGGATTGAAAATTTGATGTCATCAATTTTGAACAGTGTTTTCGCTATACCTTGGTCAAAAAAGGGAGATAAGTCTTAAAGTTGGTATATGGATAAAAGGTGGGAATGACTATCAGATGTATTTTTCCGTTTTTGTTTTTTGTTTTTGAAATTCGAAAAACCTTATGGATTTTTTGGCTATTATATCCAAGAAGTTCTTCTTTTTTCTTTTTTAGGGTCAAAATCCCCCCCCCCCCAAAAACAAAAATCCGAGATAACAGTTTTATAGCCCTGGTAATTCTGCACATTTAGTCCGGAACATTTTTCTCTATCTTCAAAGCTATAGGCCTGACAGCTCTTCCCGCGGAACTGTTTTTGGGTCGAAAATGGCGAAGCATGACGTCATTCTGACGTCATTAGCGGCCAACCTATCATGGTCTCCGGAAAATTGTTTGGTCACGATGTGTAAAATTGATGCCCGGAGTGCTCCTGAAAGTTTGGTGACGATAGATGCAGTCGTGTAGGAGATATGGACGGAAATGGACAGGGGGGGGGGCTGTTTCGCCCCCCCCCCTCCCTCCCCTACGGGGCGCAGGTTATTTATTTACAAACAAATCAATTTTCGATTCTAGTAGCCCACCTTTCGACTATGAGGGATCAAATCAGCCTGCCAGCTAGATACTCGGCTTCTGTTTCACCGGCCCGACGCTTCGCGCGCCCTGGTGGTGCCCGGGCGCAACAAATCCGCCGCCGCCTTATGCAGTGACCTTGACCTCCGCCGTCTGCTGCGGTTCCAAAGCTAAGCCAGCGTGAAGTTTGTACATTAACTCAGCGGTGCTGAATGTGTCGTCGCGATCCGTCGCTGTAACGCGAGGTAATTCGTGAAAATCCGAGGGGGGGGGGGGGTGCTGCGGTTTTGGACGCTTTGATACGGACCCGTTGGGAGAGCTCGGTCAGCCATGCGGGGTTTACGCCTCCGCCCGGCGCGGGGTTTACTTACCCCGCTCTTATAGGGAGGTCGGATGGACTTCCCCCCCCCCTCGGATTTTCACGAATTACCTCGCGTTACAGCGACCGATCGCGACGACACATTCAGCACCGCTGAGTTAATAAATTGTACACACACCCTCTCCCCAGAAAATTTCAGAATTCTGACCCAGCTGAACTTTGACGTGTACCTAACCTTTTTCTCGACACCATGTCCGGCCGGAATAGGTCAGCGTATGTTGTAAGCGCATCTCAGCGTATGCCAGCTCATGCCGCCCATGCGGTTCAAGACGTTTTCTGTATACAGTATAAAAACGTTTCAACTATAGTGAAACGATGGACGTTCCATGCGCAATGGTGGATGTCAAAGCCACGTGAAGGTGAGGTCAAGGTGGAACTCCGAAAGACGTTGGCTAACTTTTCGAGTTTTACATGTTGCTAGGGTGATTTTGGAGCTGATCCTTAACCTCACCGAACCATGCTCGTCTGTGTCGCCCGCAGGCAGCATCTGAGTGCGCCCGATGTGCACTTTCTGGGCGATCCACGCAGCGAGTCCCCCGGCGTGGAGCGGGACCTGGCCCTGCTGGCCGCCTGCAATCACACCATCTTCGACTATGGCACCTACGGCTTCTTCGCGGCATTCCTGGCAGGTCAGCGAGCTCAGCTACCGTGTCATATTTGATGACAGCTTAACCCGCGCCCCGTTGGGCTCTGCCGAGCAACGCGCCCTGTTGGGGGGGCATTTTGCCCCCCCCCTAAAATCTCGAGAACCACGCAACCTAGCGACAAGCGGCAAACGGTGTTGGATAGCCCTATCAGGGAACTACCTTGTGACCCAATTTTATTGACCTAGGTCAAACCGATGACGTCGCAGGTCAGGTCAAAGGTCCAATTTTCACCGTTTACAGGCATTTCAAGAAATGCGTTGTACAATCGAGTAAAATGCATTTCATTGAAAATCATCGATGGGGAAATGTTCTTCAAACACATATTTTGCTATTTGAGGTCACTGATACCGGTCAGGTCACAGAGGTCAGGCCACTGGGGGGTCACAATATGAAAGTGTCGTATGATACATGTTTTATGGTCCATTTTACATGCCAAATGCGATTATGTGGGTCAGGCAGCCTTTGGGGCCAGATAAGGTCACGTTTTGGTCAAGGTCAGGTCAAGGCCAGGTCAAGGTCAGGTCAAGGTCAGGTCAAGGTCAGGTCAAGGTCAGGTCAAGGTCAGGTCAAGGTCAGGTCAAATTAGGTCAAATTTCAAAGTTGATATTTTTGCATAAAATGGGTATCAGATCGATGCAGCTCGTCACGGTGAGTTCAATGATGGTCTTTGTTTTGCCGTAATTGGTCTAGAATCGCTAAAAATTGAGTTAAAAAATTTGACGTCATCGTTTTTGAACAGTTTTTTTTTCGCTATAACTTGGCCAAAAAGCGAGATATCGATCTGAAATTTGGTATGTATATAGTAGAGCGCATGGACTATCACATATGTTCCGGTTTTTCGGAATTCGAAAAAAATGGATTTTTTTTAGTTTTTCTAAAAAAATCAATTTTTTGAATTTTTTGGGTCAAAAACCCAAAATTTTGAAAATCCGAGATAGTTGTTTTGTATCGCCCCTTTTTGTCTACTAGACCATATAAAGAACTTTGGAATTGCTTGATAACTGTAGATTTGGTGAGCGTTTCAAGCTTGCATATTTTTTGCTCATTTTTCCTCGAACATGACCTCAGTTTGACCTCAATAACTCCTGACCTAAGGTGACCTAAGACTTGAAATTTGGTGTGAAGGTGTCAAATTGATGCCCGGGAAGGTACTGAAAATTCTGCGGCGCTGCGCGCCGCCGTTTTCTTGCTATTCAGGAAAAACCACAGGGGGGGGGGGCAAAATGCCCCCCCTTCCCAACGGCGCGAGGGTTAATTCTCCGCTCCTTGCTCCCTATCCTTGTCAACGTAAGATGCAGAGGTTGCATCAATTTAACATCAATGCGGCTATTGCTACAGAGGTATAAAGACACTGAATGAGTTAGCCATTTGAGGAGAGGCACCGTTATGTCCCAGTAAACATGCCGACGTCGGCCCGACGTCGGCCGACGTCGGGGTGACGTCAGCAACATGCCGACGTCGGCCCGACGTCGGTCCAACCTCGGCACGACGTCGGCTGGATGTCGGATATGCCCGCATGTACCGACGTCCAGCCGAGGTCCAGCCGACGTCGGGCCGACGTCGGACCGAGATCAATTACTGAGGTCCAGCCGACGTCGGGCCGACGTCGGGGCGACGTCGGACCGACATCGGCCGCTGTTTTGACCGTTAAAATAATATAAAATACATGTTTCATGTTTCATAAAGAGCTTCTGTATTCAAAATATCCTCAGGAAACTCAAATTTTCCTCCACGCCGCAACCCCCTGATCCGGACTGGACGGGAAACTTTACCCCATTTGGGATTGCCCGTAAGCCGAGCTCGCCCGTAGCCGGATGCGGTGAGTGCTTGGGGGCTGCTCGGCCTATCCTTTGGTCAGGCTCAGCCCCGGCAACTCACCAGGGCCGGGCCCAGTTCATATATAAAGTGTCACTTTGCCAAAGTGCCACTTATCAAAGGGACACTTTGGGAAACGTTGGTGCAGGTGTGTAAGAGTGGCTATATGAATCCATTGTGGGGTCGCCCTTTCCAATAAGTGTCACGTAACAGCAATGGGATCAGAGACTCTATATGAACTGGACCCAGGGTGCTCGCCAAGAAGACCAATGTCTCCATCCTATCATCCTTCCGGCTCTGAAATGGTCTTGTCAGACCGAAAGGGCATAACCCAAGAAAACAAACTACGTTAGCTATCTGGCTGCGTGGTGTAGTGGTTAGCGCACTAACCTCGCGTTCTAATGACACGGGGTTCGAATCCCTTCGCCGGCTGATGCTTTTGGCGTGTTGTCCCAGTAAATATGCCGACGTCGGCGACTGGGGGGCTCGAATCCCGCCGCCGGTTGATATTTTTGGCGCGTTGTCCCAATAAACATGCCGACGTCGGCCCCGTGGGTCCAACGACAAACGATCTCGTCAACCTCGGCAAACGACCTCGGCCCGACGTCGGCTCGACGTCGGCTGAAATTCGGCTGGACGTCGGAACATGCGGGCATATCCGACGTCCAGCCGATGTCGGGCCGAGGTTGAACCGACGTTGGGCCGACGTCGGGCCGAGCCTCGGCCCGACATCGGGCCGACGTCGGCATGTTTACTGGGTGTCACCTTCATCAGCCCAGTTGAACCCAGAGTCGGTTTAACCCTAGAACGCCTAGGGGGGGGGGTTGTATCAACCCCCCCCCCTGAGGTGTTTTCGAAGTGCACGCTAAACGGCTTGTCGTAGCGGGCTGAAATTTTTAATACCCTCTGGGGCAACCTTTGCGCATCTTTTGCCGAAAAAAATTGATCGGGTCATGTCAGGTCACGGAGTTATGACGTCATAAGAGGTACAGCCTCCGGCCGGATTTTCACAAACTGAGTGCCAACGCCCGAGGTTTCCTGCCGGTGGTACGGACATCGGTTGATGGATCGTGATGAAACTTCCAATGCATGTTGGGGCAAGTATTATCTATCATATGGTATAAGAAATTTGACCGGGTCAGGTCAGGTCACGGAGCTATGACGTCACAAGAGGAACAGCGTCCGGTACTATTTTTGAAAAGCGCCCGAACCACTATTTTGCTAATTCTTGTCACCTCAATGGGAATATGCAGCAATATCAGCTTCTATAGGGAGCAAATGGACCTCCCAAATCCAAAAATACAATCAGATTTCAAAAATTTAAATTTTGATTTTTCGAATTTCTGCCGCCGACTGTGACCTTGCCGACTTCCGGCGCTCCCAACGCGCCATTTTTATAGCTACGGAAACGAAATACATACCAAACGATAGAGAATTGATCAAGGAACACGATAGTGAAGGTTTCAAGTCGATATCTCCCACCGTTTTGCCGCAATCGCCGCGGAAAGTTGAAAAAAGTCTATTTTTCCGAAAATTTGACCTTTGACCGGTCAAAAGTAGGTCAAATGTTGACCTAGGACCAAAAAATATACCACCAATCGCGAGATCTCGTTGAGAGCAATCCGTTGGTTTTTTCCGCTAAGCTCTACGACCGTCCGTTTCGAAACGCCAGGGGGGGGGGGTCGTAACAACCCCCCCCCCCTGGTCGTTCGTGTTATGAGAAATGGCCTGGTCGTGCGAGGGTTAAGGCCGCCCCACACTGCACCTCACATACGGGTTGCGAGTTTATGGGTTTGTGGGTTTCTTCAAAGTTAAAGAATACATTGAATACAAAGAATGCATACTACATTGAGTGACCCACACTGCAACGAGCGAGTGTGGGTCACACACCCAACGAGTGAGTCGGCGAGTTTTTGACTTGCGAGTCACCTCGCGTTGCATTTCAGAAATTGATTTTGAGGCAACCTTCGGTTTTCCTCGCGAGTTTTGGTGTAGTTTTGTTATATGAGCTCTATTAGAACATTAGATGTCCCAAATTCCAACTTTCTATCTTGATTTTTTATCCCAAATTGTGAAAATTAGCTCCAACATGCATAGGGTATGGTGACGTCATAAGCATTTTCGTGAATTAGAGGCACTTCTGAACATCGCGTGTGAAAACAAATGGCACCACTAGATTCCTGGGACAAAGCTTGTCTAGAAAAGTGCATTTTTATGTCAAAAATAAAAAGTTGAAAATTGACTTTTTCTTAGCCCTCGTTTAGTTGATTCCCATACGAATGAGCTAGCCACAAAAGAGCTAGTGTTGTTGGAGCTAGCTCATTTGGGCTAGTGCCACAAAATAGCTAGTGCGATTGTAACTAGTCCTACAAAGCAGCTAGGAGCAAAATGACTAGTGTTGTAAAGGGCTAGTAGATCGGCTCACGCCGTACCTCTTCGGGATTTTATAAGCAAAGTTCAGTTATGATCAGATCGGTTACTAAAAAGTCGTAATATTGAAAAAGACAGAAACATACGACTCAGATTTTATTTTCAAACGTTCATCGAAATGTGGTATGCAACTCCGCGAAGAAACTCCTGCCTGTCTATGATATCTTCTGTGAGACGGCGAATGAGGACCTTAATTTTTTATTTATATCGGCATAATTTTTTCTCTTGTTTTTTTTTTTAACTTCGTTTCCTGCTTTGAATTTGTAAAGTTCGGCAGCTTGCAGCGCTTGTCCTTTTTGAATCGAGGCCAGAAAACGCCAAAGTGACGGGTGTGGCAAGTCCACCATTCCATGGATTGCCCTGTGTCACCCTTCAATTTTGTTGTTGGTCCTCGGCATTTCCTCTTCGGTGCGAATACTGACATGAGACATCAGACATTCCACATGTCTTTTCCGAAATTTGTGTGCTCTCCTCTGTCCCCTCCGTTCCTGCCTCCCATTGTAGGTATCTTCAAAGTAATTGATATCTTCAAAGCTCTTTGCACCACTAGCTCTCCTTGGGACTAGCTCTTATAAGTTAGCTATTTTAACATTAGCTTTTACATCACTAGCTCTTTTGTAGCACTAGCTCAAACGTATGTACTAGCTCAAATGACACTAGTTGTCGGATTCGGCGTGAAAAATAAGCCATAAAACATGTGTCGCACGCCCATGTAGCAAAAAGTGAAAACCGTGACCTTTCGGGACCTGACCTGACCTTGACCCGTAATTAGTATGACCCCTATACGCACATGATACCTTCACTAGGTCTTTGAGGTCATTTTTGGTGAGTTTCGAGCAGCAGCTATCGATTCCGCTGTCCATAAGCCTAATCATGCAAAACCTCAGAATTTGACCTTTGACCTGACCTTGACCCGAAAGTTGACCTCAATCTTAAAATCTTAAGAGTGCTTTGGGAAGGTCTCGTAGAGATTTTTCGAAAGCCGCCTCGCGGGGCTCGATACGACCATTGGTTCTCGAGATAACAGGGGGGTCGGATCCGACCCCCCCCCCCAGGCTGTCGTGGGTACGGAAATAGCCCAGGCGGTGCCGGGATAGGGTCCGCCGATAGTCCTACGGGGTGCGGGTTAAGTTTCCATGACACTTTTGGGCGCCGAGTTCTTGATATGTAACCATTGTAAATGTTTGCGAACCATGCGTGGTGCACTTGTGAAGGATGTTCATCTTGTAGACTCTTTCTTTTCTTCTGCATTTAACCCTCGCACGACCAGGCCATTTCTCATAACACGAACGACCAGGGGGGGGGGGGTTGTTACGACCCCCCCCTGGCGTTTCGAAACGGAAGGTCGTAGAGCTTAGCGGAAAAAACCAACGGATTGCTCTCAACGAGATCTCGCGATTGGTGGTATATTTTTTGGTCCTAGGTCAACATTTGACCTACTTTTGACCGGTCAAAGGTCAAATTTTCGGAAAAATAGACTTTTTTCAACTTTCGGCGGCGATTGCGGCAAAACGGTGGAAGATATCGACTTGAAACCTTCACTATCGTGTTCCTTGATCAATTCTCTATCGTTTGGTATGTATTTCGTTTCCCTAGCTCTAAAAATGGCGCGTTGGGAGCGCCGGAAGTCGGCAAGGTCACAGTCGGCGGCAGAAATTCGAAAAATCAAAATTTAAATTTTTGAAATCTGATTGTATTTTTGGATTTGGGAGGTCCATTTGCTCCCTATAGAAGCTAATATTGCTGCATATTCCCATTGAGGTGACAAGAATTAGCAAAATAGTGGTTCGGGCGCTTTTCAAAAATAGTACCGGACGCTGTTCCTCTTGTGACGTCATAGCTCCGTGACCTGACCTGACCCGGTCAAATTTCTTATACCATATGATAGCCAATACTTGCCCCAACATGCATGGGAAGTTTCATCACGATCCATCAACCGATGTCCGTACCACCGGCAGGAAACCTCGGGCGTTGGCACTCAGTTTGTGAAAATCCGGCCGGAGGCTGTACCTCTTATGACGTCATAACTCCGTGACCTGACATGACCCGATCAATTTTTTTTCGGCAAAAGATGCGCAAAGGTTGCCCCAGAGGGTATTGAAAATTTCAGCCCGCTACGACAAGCCGTTTAGCGTGCACTTCGAAAAAACCTCAGGGGGGGGTGATACAACCCCCCCCCCCTAGGCGTTCTAGGGTTAAACAAAGCATTTTTATTTAGCAACTGCCATGCTTACATACGTGCATGCTACGCTTAGCTGAGAAAGATGGTAGGTATAGTAAGTATAATTAGCATCTTCCCTGCTTGAGGTTATGCCTACATCGGCAAGTATGCAATAAAAGGCGCATGTTGTAGCATGTTGACGAGTTTTGTGTTCGGTCTCTCTTCAGGTGGAGATATGATTCTGGCCGACGGGGTCTCGGAGATCGAGTCCGAAGAGGTGGCCGAGCTCAGGGAGGGCAAAATCAACGCCACATTCATCGACGGAAACGGACGAGTGCTCCCAAGATGCGTCCGCTGCTCGTGACGCCGGCATCATGTACTTGTTATTCACGAATATTTTCTACTACGTGCACTTTTACTGTCGTGACAAGTTTTTGGTGTTGCGTTTTATCGAGTTTTTTACATGCTTTATATGGTCGTTGCCCGTTGGTATTACCGTGTTTTTAACAACTTTTGGTATTTATACATTAAGCAATAAACGTGCTGATGTAAAGACTCAAGTCGTCGTTGGTATAGGTCGTTGCGACGGTGGCGTCGATCACCGATGCGTCTGGCCGATAGGTGGCGACCCAGTCCTCTTGTTGGGCCAGACGGCGCTGCCTCTTCGCTGCCGCGGTGTGCGCTGTCGCACTGTCACCGTTGTACTGCTGGTAAAGCCGGACAGCCGGGGTTTCTACCTCACTCACTCACTCACTCACTCAGTCACTCACCACTCACTCACTCACTCACTCACTCACTCACCTAGTGAGTGAGATGAGTGGCGAGTGGCTGATTTCCTTTGGACTCTATGCAAGGTCCTCCATTGGGTATTTAACCCTCGCATGTGTAGGGGGGTCGGATGGACCCCCCATGGTTTTTCGCGAATAACTCGCGTAAAAAGCGGCCGATCGCGACGAAACTTTCAGTACCCTCGCATTGATCAATTTGACACCTACCCTGAAAATTTCATGACCCTGACCCAAATGACCTTTGACCTGTGACCTCTTTTCCGAGACCATGTTTGGCCGGAATCGCGATTCGGCGTACGTCGGCTCGCATTAGCCGCGCGTTTGCAAGCTTTTCGTGGTTTCAAACGTTCAAACATGTGATTTGATGCTGCTCCCATGCATTAGGGTGGGTGTCAAGGTCACCTGAAGGTCAGGTCAGGTCATTGACCTTTGGTGACCTCGGGTGACCTCGGTTCACTTTTTCGAATTTTACATGTTTCTAGGCTAGTTTTTGGAGCTGAATTCGAATTTAGCAACCATTTGAACATTTACGAAGTAGTTTTGGTGCCTTCGTAACATGTTACGAAGCTGTCAGAGGCGGTTGACACGTACTACGAATACCCGTCACGACGCCTACTGATTGACCTGACCTGACCTGACCCGACCTTGTCTAAATGCTTAAAGACATCATCTGTGATCAAAACTAACACGATTTTCGTGATCAGCACCCCGAAAAACCCCTTAGCAGCCACACTTTACGACTTTCTAATAGGTCCCGATTTTCCCGACTTTGGGTCATTGACCTGACCTGGAAGGTCAACCAATGACCTAGGACCTTAACTCATTAACGCCGAGTGGCAACTATAGTTGCCATCTACAAAAACCTACTGCTGAAGGCAAGTTAATGACGTCAGAACAGCATTTGTGGGATGCCTAATCAGCATAGTCCCTTCTCATCATGATCAGACGGTTTTAGTCACGTCCTGTGCGCAACATGCTTCACAAATCAAGAAATAGTCAGACGTTGCAGAGACGGCCGCCATATTGGCTTGACGGTCCCGAAGAAAACGACGCTGTTTTTCCAGAGTGTCCGGTATTTCCGAGCATTTTCGGCTTATTTTGATCCAGAAAGGATGTAGGCAGGCTACCAGTGTCTCAAAACTTGAAAGCACTCTACTCATTTGTAGTTATTTGTACTAGATTTGTACTTGGCAACTATAGTTGCCACTCGGCGTTGGCGTAGTCAAAAATATGAGCGGTTCATAGTTAAATAGTTGTATTTACGGATATACTGTAACGAAACATATGTTATTCAACCAGACTGTCCCCGTGTATACCTTGGGACATAGTTACATGGACTTTTGCAAATAAATTAACAATTAAGGCAGAAATTAATTAAAAAATACATGCATGTCTATACATTACCATAGTGAACCCTACCCCCATCCATTGTTTTCTTGGTCTATTCTCGACATTGTTAAATCTGTTTATGTTTATCATCTACTGAAGATATTTTTGTGGAATGGGATGCAATCTCGCTTTCTCTTTCCCCCCTCTCTCTCTCTCTCTCTCTCTCTCTCTCTCTCTCTCTCTCTCTCTCTCTCTCTCTCTCTCTCTCTCTCTCTCTCGCTCTCTTTCCCTGTTCCTCCACTGGCGGATGCAGGAAACATTACGGACATTCATAGCTCACAGAGTCCGACTTGCCCGATTTTGTTTCGTTTTCTTTGTAAAGAAAGAGAACTAAAACGGCATTTATACGATAAAGATTGCCTACGATTGCACAGTAATGCATTTATAACAAACCGAAATCCGAGAAGTTTAGGTACGAGAATTTTCAAACCCTGCTGCGTGTGATATCACCTATCACCTTTCTGGATAAACCAGAGTCGCTCTCGCTTTCTCTGTCGAAGACTATGCTTTGCTGGTTTTTCCTAGCGTTCGTTAGTCGCGCCACTTGCAGTATGCATAACCAAACTCAGGCATGCTCATCTGCAGGCACCGTGCCATGATGCTAAATCGTGTGACCAGCTCGTGTTTCAATTTGGAGGGGCACGTAGGTATTAAGCCTATTTGCATCAACAAATTAAGTTTTTAGCATCGTAAAGACGCTGTATGACGTTTACAAACAGGGACCCATAAACGAAAGCTCCCCCACCTCCTCCGCTGAGCTCCCATTGACGCCGATTATGACCTTGACACAGTCGTGATACCGAATTGATTCCGATGAAGCTGCTTGCTATCTGAACTTTCACAGCAGATGCTGGTGATTCAGCTGAATGAGACGGTGGAGGCGGCTTTGTGCTTTGGGTTTCGTGCGAGGATAACAGCACACGAAACTTTAGGTTACGATCACGTAGCTGATGTTGTCTCATGGGACTGAATGAAAATTGTGAACCAAAGGCGAGACATCGCCTGACTTGGGGCAGTGCTGATTCCTGGCACTGCCAGCTGGAAACGAGGAAATGGGGATTCAGGTGGTAGAAAATATGTGGGCCTGTTCAGTTGTCCTAAACTAGATGAAATTGAACTATATTTTTATGACACGTGGAATGTGTTCAAGTGCAAGTAGTGGTGGTCGCCTTGTACTTACACCACTTTTACTCGTCAATCAACATATCCCCCTTCTTATTCTGAAGTACAACCGCCAGTGTGTGCTCGAGTCGTGATCACGAAAGGGATCCAATTTGTCCAGACTCTCGTCCGAACAGTCTAAAAAACATTCGAAGGCGAACGGATTTACTGGTTAGGTAAGGACAGCAGAAGTACGTACGTATGCGGGAATCAGAAATATACTATACAATTCCATGGCTCCGGTAGGCCTGTAATCAGCGTGCTCGCAAATAGGCATGAATAATCGAGTTGCTTTGTACCCCGAGTTTTTACAAATGTATCATACCCGGTAGAAAGTTTTGTGATAGGACGGTATACCTGCCATCAACCATGTACGAGTAAATAGGGATCTGGTGAGAACTACGTATGAGATAATATGCATTCTTTGTTGAATTGTTTTCGAGCAGATTTTATTTATGCATGTCAAGATAAATGGTTAAAAAGGACTGGTAAAGAGCATCTGCTTTGGTACAGAAAAACACTTATTGATGGATAAATGAACTGTGTTTCCTGGATACCAAGGACTGCAGCTGCTTTGGGCACAGGCTACAGGCTTATACCATAGGGCATAGTGTAGATTCCACTACTTAGACGTAATTATCTTATTAAAAATTTATATTGAAGTGGCGTAACCACTTTTTTCTGTTTGGAAATTGGATTAAGGCTCGTGGGGGATAAGTTGGGACATAAATAGATTCAATGCATCCCGGCGATTAGTATTTGTTTAATGAAAAGTTACGATAGCGGCAATTTTTGACTACGCCAACGCCGAGTGGCAACTATAGTTGCCAGTCCAGAAATATATGTTAAAAATATTTTTATTTTTCAATACACCGTATGTGCATTTCTAGTGCATGTAGAAGCACAGGGCATCAAGAAAAACTGCCGAAATTTGCCCACGGAATTATCGTCGTTAATGAGTTAAAATTTGGTATCATCGGCTTCCTCTCGTCACGGGCAACACGCTCGTTTTTTCCGCGAAGCTCTAGCTCGATCAGGGGCCAAACGGCAAGGGGGGGGTCCAACCGACCCCCCCCCCTACACATTAGAAGCTGGAAAACGCCGCACACATGCGAGGGTTAAGTGAGTCTCATTCTAATACGAGCACATAGCTAAATAAAACTCTAGTAAATTGTATCACTGGTATTCCCTCGACACCTACACATTTTTCCTATCGAAAGGTGCTTTGGTCTCAGCTAGAAAATGTTCCAGTGACCAATAGGTTGGGTGCGGTCTGAATGCCCCTAATGCCAGTCAAAGTGCTGTCAGCTGTCAAAACGACCCAGCTGTCAGACCTGGATCGAATGCACCCCGTTGATTATACATAATCAACGACTGAAATCTGGTATCTCATTAAAACAGAACGTAAAAAGTATCTAATGCGCTTTTCTGTAACGCTCTAGCTCTATTTGTTCCCGATCTATGCGCGCCGCTTTGTAAAACAAAAAGTTAAAAAAGGCAAAATTTGATCTTTTATGAACCTGACCTAAGAAATTACCGATGTACTTGCTTCATGATTTTTGACGCGCTTTCGAATGTCGCTTAACCCGGCACCGCCTGGGCTATTTCCGTAGGTACCCACGACAGCCTGGGGGGGGGGGTCGGATCCGACCCCCCCCCTGTTATCTCGAGAACCAATGGTCGCATCGAGCCCCGCGAGGCGGCGTTCGAAAGGTCTCTACGAGACCTTTCCAAAACACTCTTAAGATTTTAAGATTGAGGTCAGCTTTCGGGTCAAGGTCAGGTCAAAGGTCAAATTCTAGGGTTTTGCATGATTAGGCTTACGGACAGCGGAATCGATAGCTGCTGCTCGAAACTCACCAAAAATGACCTCAAAGGCCTAGTGAAGGTACCATGTGCGTATAGGGGTCATACTAAGTACGGGTCAAGGTCAGGTCAGGTCACGAAAGGTCACGGTTTTCACTTTCTGCTACATGGGCGTGCGACACATGTTTTATGGCTTATTTTTCACGCCGAATCCGATGGTAATGGTTATATGTGACCCCAAGTCACTGTGCTGGTGATAAGTGTGCATTGAAAGCATAAAAAATCGTTTATACCATACATAACTAAACGAGGGCTGAGAAAAAAGGTCAATTTTTTCAACTTTTTATTTTTGACATAAAAATGCACTTTTCTAGACGGGCTTTGTCCCAGGAATCTAGTGGTGCCATTTGTTTTCACATGCAATGTTCAGAAGTGCCTCTAATTCACGATAATGCTTATGACGTCACCATGCCCTATGCATGTTGGAGCTATTTTTTTACAATTTGGGGGTCAAAAATCAAGATAGAAAGTTGAAATTTAGGACATCTAATGTTCTAATAGAGCTCTATAACATATATCCCGTTTTTTTGGAAATTCTCAAAATTTTGGATTTTATTAGCTGTTCTCCAAAAAATGTAGTTTTTTTAATTTTCAGGGGTGAAAAACGCATTTTGTGGAAAATCCGAGACAGCCATTTTAAAGAACTCATTGAGCTGCGTCTCTTCTTGTCCTTAATTTGCAATTCGCCTTAAATCCTGATTTTTGGCGATTTTTTAAACATTTACGACTTTTTGACTAAAAACGCCATGTAGTTACATCACTAAAATCCATATATCTAAAAAAAAAGTTGGAAATTTTTTCTTAAAATTACACAGAAGACGTCAAATTGATGGGGGAGAAGGTATGCCAAGTTTCAAGTTGATAGCGTAAGCGGTTCTTGAGTTATTCAAGAAAAACGGAGGGGGGTCGGATCCGACCTCCCCCCCCAGGCGGTCGCGGGTTAACACGTGTCGATACAAAGCCCAAGGGCCGCGGCTTACGGGGGGGGGGGGCTGTTCAAACATCCCCCGGTACGGCGTGGATGGCGCCGAGCACCGGCCCGGCGCGGTTAACACGTCAAAGGGGAGGGTTAAAATGCCTTTCTCGGCTCCTAAGCCACTAAAATGTTTGTTATTTAACAACCTATCACATGAGCAACAACCTGTCACATGGTCAAATCAAATTTGGGACATTTTCTTACCATTTGCTTCTGCAAAACCACAAATACAAAAAAGGTACCTACACAAAACAGGTGCAAACCTTAGGCATCGCCAAACTTTCAACCCCAACGTCAGACCGTCACCAACGTCAAATGTCCATTGCACTGCGTATAAGGTCGCGTCAGTCGTGCTGACGTGATATGACAGTGACGGACGGACGGGGGAGGGGGTGGGTCAGCTCACCTGCTCACTGGGTAAGTGCGGAGAGCGGCGGCCGGCGCTCGCGGCCGCCACAGTCACGTGCGGTGTCGGCTGGCGTTCAGTTGGCGGCTCGCACGAGGACGCTGTCAGACGGTATTAGGTTTACGTGACTGACGGGAGTGAGAAGAGCAGGAGGAACAACAGAACCGAACCGTGCAGTTTAGTACCAGACTGTACTGTGCAGTACGCTGCATCGGTAGCACTGCTCGTGAGAGGTGACACGGAGCTGTGGAAACAGGTCTGTCTGAAAATGAAGACTACGAGTACTGCAATCAACAGTGAGTGGAAAGGTTGATCAATTGGGGCCAAATTCCAAAAGCGAGATGTTAAGCACAGGTGATCAATAATGCAATTAACCCTCATTAACCCGGAAGCGCCGCTTAGCTCATACTTCAAAACCTGTGCAGGTTGCAGGTCGATACTAGCTTAGGTCAAGCCAGGAGAGCCAAAAAGAGAAATACATAGTTAGGTGATACTTCTCCATTTCTTAGATGGGTAAGACGTGTGATTCTCTTTGCAACCGAGTGTTCGTACGAAAAAAAAGTGTCAGTGTGTCAATTTTACCTACATCTCGATGTTTGAGAGTGTCTAGAATAGCGTTCATGCAAAACAGACGCTTTTTAATTTTCTCCCATTGACTTATAATGGAGAGGCCGCAAAATTGACCTGACCTTAGGTCACCGATATCCAAATTCCGAGAAATACATTTTATAGATAATGTTGCTCTTATCAATCGCTGAAAGTTTCAAGGCAATCGTTCAGTCGGTGTAGCTATGACACGAGCATTCTTATTTTTATGAGGTTAGGTCATTTGGCGTGACCTGGTGATCTGACCTAAGGCGACCTGAGTCTGAAATTTTCACAACTTGTGCGGAAAAGATGCAAAAACAGGTGTGCCAAAAACGGCGGAGATATCTGCGAAGAACTGCAGGGGGGGGGGGTGGTCAAACACCCCCCTCCCCCGGCCCGTCGCGGGTTAAACGTCATTTGCTCAAAAAATGTCCGACGTATTTCGCTCAAATTTGCAGGAAACGTGTTAAACTGATGTATGATAAGGTACTGAAAGTTTGACGTCGCTGGCGTAAAGCGTGTAGAAGTTATTGGCGAAAACCGGGAGGGGCAGATTCTACCCCCCCCCCCCCCAGCTTGGTTAGACTTCGATTAGTGGAATCGTGTAATAATAACCCGAATTCTGAATGTCAGTTACTTTTTCATCTCAATGCAATGGAAAAATTGACGTCTGTTCCAGCGCAGACCACGTATGTACGTACCACCCGCACACCAACAGGGTCTGCCAGGCACGTGCCCGTGACATCACCTACTCGCTGTGCAAATATCAACCTCTTGGAAAGAATTGATTGACAGCGCATCACATCACCACACAGCGGGTGCAAACAGATAAACAGGTAGACAAAGTGGCATTATACAAATGGTACAATGAAGGTACTATGTAGTGGATAGGGAGGAGGTAACCAGCGCCTTGATACTGATAATGCTGTCACAGCCGGCAGCCACTGGCACTCTGGGGCATTCCACGATAGATCAGATCGTACCACTTTTTTCCAATTTGACACCCTTATCTTTCGAATTTTAACGTCTAAGGGGTAATCAGGGGCTCTGAATCCTCCTGTAACAATTTCAGGCTTATCAGATGAGTGGTTTTTGAGTTATAGTGTATAAGATGTTTTGGATCTTGCGTTGCAGCCCCAAGTTTGGCGGGCTGTAACCCTAAGACGGATAATCCAAATGTCAAATGCTGTACGGCATTGAACTTGCATTGAAACAAAGAATAATATGCATTTTTAAGATTTTGAAATATATACTATTTTTGATATGTAACACCTCGAGTTTCCTTTCATTTGCATTTTTATGCCTTTCAGGCCAAATTTTTTTGAATTTTTATATACTTAAAAACATTTTTAGATCATTTTTAAGTAGTATGCAAAAAATTAGGAAGGTGTTCTTTCTATAAATGTACTTATTTTGCGTCACCGTAATGGTCTCGAATTGTGATTTCGGAAAAAAAGCCTACAAATGGTGTGGTAAAGCTGCCTAGTGACATCACTGGTTACTGAAAGTTCAATTGAAGTCATTTTTGCCTCATTTTTGCAATGTTGACCTTGCGTGACGTCATTCGTACGTCACTAGGGTCATAAGAGTTTTTCGTCAATAACTCTCGATCAAATTGAGCTAGAGAGACGGAAAAGCTGCCAATGGACTCGGGAAGACCTTGCGAATCGAATGATGTGCAATATGATCTCATTCACCCAGCTTCGTGGCCTGACCCGACTGTTAACCATCTATGTAGCGGCGCTGTTTGTCCAGCGCCGCGCTGGTTGGCTTTGCCGCGGACTCGGGCGGTCACGTGATGCCCGGGGGCTGGCTGCCGGCTGGGCCGCCCGGTCGGGGCGCGGAGCCAAATACACGGCAGTGTGCTGACCCGAGGTCAGCGACTTAAGCTGACCTCACCAGAACAAACAGTATACCATTCGACGCGCCGGAGCTAGGCAAACACAAAGATGCTAAAATCGCGGCTCTGCGACCATTTGTTGCGAAGTTATCTATCAAAAACCGGACCCGTAATTTGGGTCACTTGAAATGACCTCAGGGGTCACCAATCAACCCGAGACCTTAAAATGTGGTATCATTCGATACATCTTATAACGGCGCACATGCTCGTTTTTTTCCGCAAGGTTCTAGCTCCATTAGAGGCGAAACGGCGAGCTGGGGTCGTATCGACCTCCCGGAAACCCATTTTTTATACATTTAAATGAGGAACTTATAGAAAGAACACCTTTCTAATTTTTTGCATGTCGATTTCAAAGGGCCTGAGGTTTGTTTTGAAAAAATAAAAACGGCGAAAATTTTGGTCCCAAGGGCCATTATAGACAATTAAAAAAAATACTACGACTTTTTTCAATATGTAAAGCTTTTCTTTCCAATTTTAAAAATACTGTATTGTACTCTCAGTACAATGTGTAAAAATACTCTTTGATTCATCGTTAGTTCAAAGCTGTTTACCGTTTGTTGCTTGCTTAGCTCGTTTTTGAGTTATAGCTCATCAAACTCACCCTTACAATCTGAAGTTTAGAAAATATTATGCAATGTAACTCAAAAAGTTTTCATCTGAGAAGTCTGTTATTTTGGCAGGTGTTTTTGGAGCCTATGATTGCCCCTTGTACCAATTTTCATTCAAATCTGAGAGATAGGGTGACGGGCCTGGTACGATCTATCGTGGAATGCCCCACTCTATTAGTCTCACTCTTACTTAAGTCGACATGTACGTATAAATGCATGCCTAGGGGGGGGGGGGGTCCATCCGACCCCCCCCCCCCTACACATGCGAGGGTTAACCCTCGCCGGCCGAGGGGGGGGGGCGGGTGCCGCCCCCCCATAGGGTTTTTTCGCGATAGCTCCGAACACGCTGGCGATAGAGAGCTGAAACTTGGCATACCTGACCTTTGATCCAAGCCGCATCTTTTGACACCAACCGCATTTTTGGGTCAGGTCAGGTCACTGACCTATGACGTCATAAGTGAACCTCTGCACGGTCTTCAGATGTCGCAACTTCGCAACGCCCTCACTGCCAGAGGAGATGTCACAGGGAAATGAAACTTGCAGGATCTAGTATCCATTATGAGTCCCACAACTTGTATATCTCGGATTTTTCCTAAAGGTCATATGAGGTCAGGTCATTTTCGTGACCTCACCATTATAAGTCAATGGGGAAAAATTCAAACTGCTATTCTGGCGCCGGGAACGATCTCCAACTATCTCAAGCACACAGAATCGTGATTTGATGCACTCCTTGCAAGGTAAGATGCGTCACTTTTGCAATGTTGACCTTGCGTGACGTCATTTATGACGTCATCAAGGTCATATTAGTTTTTCGTCAATAACTCTTGATCAAATTGAGCTAGCGAGTCGGGAAAGCCACCAATGGACTCAGGAAGACCTGCCGAATCGAATGATATGCGACATGACCTCTTTCGACCAACTTCGTGACCTGGGGGTGCTGACCTGACCTTGACCTGAGGTCAACACCCCAAATTGACCTGACCCAGACAAAAAGTATATCATTCGACGCGCCTGAGCGAGACGAACACGATGCTGCCAAAGTCGGCGCTCTGCGGCCGTTTTTTGCGAAGTTTTTCACCAAAAACTGAACCGTACCTTGTATGTATGTATGTATGTATTGACTATCAAGAGCAATCCACAATCGGCGTGGCGATTACACTCCGAGTCCGAGCTGGTTGAAGATAACACAAGAAATAGGTACCTACACAAGAAAACGCACACACTTACGGATACGAAATACACAACGCGAGCGCCGAACACGCACATACTTGGTGTAACCCGCACGAAGCCGCGTTTATGACTATGTACACACAGACTCGTTTGCCTTTCATAGTCCAAGAGTCATGAGGCTAGCTACTATGGCTACTCTGGCTAGGCTTAAGCCCCTTTTTTACAGCACGGGCAAATCTGGCTGGAGGCAACTGCGTTAGCTCGAGGGGGAGAGTATTTAGGAGCGCCGCGGCACGGTAGGCGAATCTACGTTTTCCGGTCTCTAGTCGGGGTCGCGGTAAGTGGAAAAGGTGGTCTTGGCGAGTAGACCTTGCTCGTGTTTGGGAATTTTTGGAAAATAGGGTCGCGATCTCCTCGGGTTCACCTCTCTGGATGGCCTTGTGCGCCGTGATAAGGGTATGGTATTCAGCCATTGTTTTAGGTGCCATCCAGCCGAGTTGGTCCCGGAGATGGGAGACATGATCAAATTTACGGCGACCGAAAATAACTCTAGCGGCAAAGTTAAGAATTTTCTGAATGCGATCGAAGTTCTTTTGGCTACCATTACCAAATACGGAGAGACAGTACTGGATCCTTGACATGACGAGAGCCACCACTAGTGTCTTGGTGACACCGTCGGGGAGATAGTGGCGGACATGGGAGAGGCCAATTAGGAGACCCGTGCATCGGCGACTGAGCTCGGACACATGCGCGTCCCAGGACAGGGTGCCGTCGAAGATAACGCCCAGGTTGCCCACCTGCTTGCATGGCACTAGTTTGGTGTCGCGAAAAGAAACGGTGAAAGCAGGTATGCTTCTCAAATTTTGCCGACTGCCGAAAACCATGAGCTGAGTTTTAGCAGTGTTTACTTTGAGAGCATTTGCACTGAACCAATGGTCGAGAGACGCCAGTGACGCTTCCAAGCGCGAGATGAGTCCCCTAAGGTCGTTTAAAGGGCCACTCACCAACAATTGAGTATCATCAGCGTACTGGAAGACTGCTGCATCCTCAGAATAAAGTGATAGATCATTGGAAAATACCGTGAAGAGTAAAGGACCGAGTGCCGAGCCTTGAAAGACGCCCATAGAGTTGGGGAGAGGTTGTGATAATACCCGGCGACCGGACTCGTCCTTCAATGACACACTCTGTGTGTGACCCTGGAGATAAGCGGCGAACCAGGATGTCTCTATGCCGTGCATAGCCAATTTAGCGAGTAATAACTCATGGTTTGACATCAAAACATTTGCTTAAATCAATAAGGCATAGCATAGAGACATCCCCCCTATCGGTGGCGGCCAGGATTTGGTCACTGACGGACAGAAGTGCTGTCTCAGTTGAGTGCCGGGGTCGGAAACCGTGCTGGGTATTGGCCAGAAGATGGTTTTGGGAGAGATAGCGATAGAGCTGTTTGTGAATGACTCGCTCGACCACCTTCATAATGACAGGTACTAAGGAGATAGGTCGAAAATTAGTGGGATCAGATGGGTTTCCAGACTTGAAGATGGGGTGAACTATAGAGTGTTTCCAATGAAAGGGGATATCGGACCTTGAGATGCAAGTGTTAATGATGTGAAGGATAACGTCACCGATAGATGGGAAAGCGGTTTTCAGCATGCGAATGCAGACGCCATCAGACGCACAGGCGGCAGAATTGCGCATATTGAAAACGGTGTGACCGAGTTCACCGAGAGAGATAGGTCTGGGCTTAAATCTACCGGTTACGACACGCGGCAAACGGCCAATTTGCTCAACAACTGGATTTTGGTCACGGATCTCTGTAGCGACGCGGGGACCCACAGAAACGAAAAAAGAATTTAAAACGTCAGCCGATACATCAGGTTGAACACTAGGTCCGTCTTTCTTACCAGCCACAACCGACCTAATACTTTTCCACACCTTGTTGGGACCCCGCCCACTAATCTCTCTGTGAAGTTCGCCGCGTCGGTCTCGTCGCACTGCGGCCCGGACAGTTCGGTTCAAGTCTTTGTAAACCTCCGACTTTCTACCGAACTGCTGTAACGCGGTACGACGTTGATCCATGATTTTAAGTGTGGCGGGGGTAACTGGTGGTGCTGTAGGATTACGGATGGTAATATTCTTTATAGGTGCGTGATCGTCAAAAATCGGCAGAAATTCGGTCAGGAAAGCATCCCACTGGTCACTTACGTTCGTGGCACTAAACACGCCCTCCCAATCGGCAAACATCAGGTCAGAGTTCAGGGCATCGACATCTATACGGTTGATCGAGCGGGATTGAACAACTGTAGGATTTTTGCGTTGTTTCGGGACGTTAATAGACACACGAAGGAGTTTGTGTGGCACTTGACCTGACCTCAGAGGTCACCGGTTGACCTGGGACCTTAAAATCGGGTACCAATCTCTGCGTCTCGTAACGGCGCACACGCTCGTTTTTTCCGCGACGCGCTAGCTCCACCAGGGGCGAAACGGCGAGGGGGGGGTCGTACCCGCCCCCCCCTCGGCCGGCGCGTATGTAGAAAACCAATAGGTCCGGCGAGGGTTAAGCGGGGAAGGAACTGGAGGAAGTGGAGGACTACGGATGCTAGATATCAGTGCCTTTGCAAACAGTATGAAACTGACGTGGCTAAAAAGATTAAACACTTCAAATGCTCCGTGGACACAAATGTTAGAATGTAGCTTACCAAACGCCAGAGATATTCCACTATACGGTGCTAAAAAACTAACAAAAGTAGCGAATAGAATACAAAATCCATTCTGGAAGGACGTACTTCAGACATTTATCATTTATAACTCTCTTTCCAAGCCAGACACGCCTTCATTACTAACCGAAAGTCTTTGGTACTCAGACTACGCAAAATTTAAAGGCTCCATCATCAAGGACTGGGATCGTAAAGGACTTCGATTTATCGTAGACCTTTTTGACGAGAAGAATAGAAAGTGGTACACAAAGGATATGCTAGAGAACAGATACAACATAAAAATGACATTTCTTTGCTATTCAAGTTTAATAAGAAGCTTACCAAACATACCAAGTTACGAACTACCTGTCAGTATCGAACGTCCCATAATACCCTCCAAAATGAGTCTGATATTAAATCATCCGAATTTCCCTCGCTTAGCATATCACACGTACGTAAAAAGTAGAAAACGCGAAATAACCCATAATCGTGCCAGGGATAAGTGGATGCGTGATGTGGGATACTTTGCTCAACAGAGTTTCATTAAGCTTTCAAAAGTAACACAATCTACTCGATTAAAAATGTTCCATTACAAGCTCATCAACCGTATTATCACAACAAATAGATACTTAAAGATAATATCCATTAAAGATGACGATTCTTGCACATTCTGCAAGCAGGAATGTGAAACAATATTACATATGTACTGGGCATGTCCAATAGTACAATCATATATAACATCTATAAAAATAGCATTTGGGAGATCATTAGCGATCAATCTAGAAAGCCCGAAATCGTGGTTTTTCTTTGAACATTTAGACGACATAGAAATAGTTATAGTAGCATTAGCGAACATAGTTATTTATGAAGCTAGATACAATGAAATAGTTCCAAACATAGTATCTCTCAAAAATAAACTTAAAAGGGAAGCCGAAGCCGAGTTATACATGGCTGAGCAGGCTAAGCAGTCAAATCTCTTACACACATTCGAAAAGAAATGGGACAAAGTCAAACAAGTGTGCGACATTCAGCCGGAAACTACATTAAACCAGAGAACGACTTAGAGAACTTACTTACAGTCATTCAAAAACTTAAAATCATCAATCCAAAACTCATTCATGTATCAATCCACACAACGTCACAACATTCACAAAAGCAGCGCATTGCTGTACATGGTATGCTTCTGAGGTTACTGCGTGTGATCCTTAGCTTCCTATCCTATCATCCCCAGAATCCAGTCCTCTATCTTTCAGCGTTCCCCAAGATGATGCTGGTGGCGGGCTGGCTGCGGGGGCGTGCGCCGGCTGGCCCACGCGCCGGTCTGGAGACGGCCATTAACTAGTCCGATATTGAGGGGTGAGCGCGGCGCCCGCCCGGCTGTCGCTGCCGCTGCCGCTGGCGCTGGCGGGTGATCGGCTGCTGCAGCTGCCGCCGCTGCCGCCGGGGACCCGCCTGTTCGGTTCTTCCGCTTTAACCCTACTTTCAAACGCTCTTTTTTGTCATTATGTTCCATTCACTGCTATTTCGTTTTCATTGTGAGCTGCTCTTGTTTTTGCGTTCCGCGTATTTCGTTTTGTTGCGGTCACGTGTAAAAAAAATAAAAAAAAAGATATGAAAAAAAAGCGGGGAAGGAACTAAATTAACTTTCCTCAAGTGCTCAGATATGTACTGTGCAATTACACCGCTAACGGTGTCAATATTTTTATGTGTGCAGTGTTCAATTAGAGACGTGTGAACGTCGCCAAACTAGCTCGAGCGGATGTAGAGCGAGCGGATGTATAGCGAGCGGATATACCTACAATTACATGCATGTCGGCTCGAAAAGGACACAAATGAGCTGTTTTAATTCTATTCGTTTGCAGGACTGTTTGGATCTACTCGAAGCAAATTAATTCTACTTGCCATTGTAATTGGCGTGGGTCACCTTCTGGTGTACAACACGTCTTGCGAAACATGTAACTCCCTGTTTACTTCGTTCCGCAACAAGACGGTGAGTGTGGCAGGTCCATAACTACTTGATGTATAATTGTATGCCCATGACTTTTTAGGCAGTGGATGCTGATCTTGTCAGCTTTAGCAGAACTGCCTGTCAGCTCAGTCTTGTGTTCCAGTTGTTGGGTAACGTGTACTTGTGTTGCCACCAGGGTTGAAAGCGTTCTTAACCTTCCCCCAGTGTGTGTGTGTGGGGGGGGGGGGGCATATGTTACCACCCTGTCGCGTTTTTTGCGTGTGAATAAAAAACCGAGGCGCGTAGCGCCGCGCCGCTTGGGGTAGCTTTTGGTACATCAATTTTGGACAATGTGTGAAATTTTTGACCCCAGGTCATGTCAGGTCAGGTCACCAGGTCTAGTTAACTGACCAAGCCTAAAAAAGTTTGCAATCATGTCCAGCCTGCAGTGTTTGTCAGAAAGGTTTTAAACTTGGTGGATTGCATGATGTTATGGGCGCCTACAATTTTTTATATCTCGGATTTTTTTATATCCGTGACCTAAGGTTAGGTCAGTGGCGTGACCTTTACATTACAAGTCAACGGAAAAAATGAAAATGCCTCTAGATCCGTGTGTACGCATAGGAACAGTCCAAATATTTCAGAATCACAATGATTTGGACCACCCGTGATGACCAAGGTGTCATTTTTGCTAATAGCCTCTAGAAAGGTCATCCGAGGTCATTTGAGGCTACAAACAGTTTTTTGCCAATAACTCGCGATTGGAAAGAGATAGAACGCTGGGAATGATCTCATTGTGTTCGTCTTGCCGAGACGCATCGACTGATATGCAACATGACCTTTTCCGGTCAGGTCATGACCTTGACCTGAGGTCAAATTTTCAAGTTGACCTTTCAAGGTCAAATTATAGTTCATTCGACGCGTCTCGGCGAGAGGAACACGATTCTGGCAATAGAAATGTCGTGGCTTTTTGTAGTCGAAAGTTATTGTCGAAAAACACTTTTCGTAAAAACAGCTATTTTTGGAGTTTTTGCCCTCTGGAGGCTATATTGTTGACCTGAGGTCAATTTTGATTATGACCTTATCAAAAGAAGAGTTCAAAAGCTATCGATTGTTTTTACATGCGCTTTTCTAGCTACCATGGTTCCTGAGATAACGGCATGTTTTCTGAAAAATATAATGACCATTGGCAAATTTTGACCTTTGATGACCTCTGGTGACCCCAATATTGCTCTAAGATGAAAAATGACTGTAATACTTTCAAACGAACGCATTGAGCGCTATCGACTGCTTTTTACTGCGTCTTTCTAGCCCTCTTAGTTTTTGAGTTAGAGGTGGGTGGTAACATATGCCCCCCCCCCCCCCACTAGGGCGAAGTTGGCTGAGACCGCCACTGGGGCGCGGGTTAAGCAGTTAAAGGTAAAAGCAAGACAGAGGTAACTATATCAGATCGGTATCATTCATGCTTGGCTCTCGTGCCATTATTTTTCGAAATACGGGTTCATGGAAAAACTGGAAGCAGGTAAGGCCCTATATATGGCCTTGGGTAAGGCCATATATAGTAGGCATATAGTTACGGAGCGAGCGAAGCGAGCGTAGTCTTTCCTTAGATTAACGGAAATTTCTGAGTATGAGCGGCCGGCCGGCCGGCCGTGGTCACGCTTTTGCGACGCTTATATCTCAGCAACCACTTGACCGATTTACATGCGGTAATTTTTGTAGGGTAGCTTCATTCCTTCTACCAAGTATTGGACTATTTCCGATGCATGTGGGTGACTCCTTATGCACGTGCCACGTGCAAAACGAAGAGGTGTCACTTTTGTAATAGTTGCAATATCTCGGTAACTACTGGGCCGATTGCGCTGAAAGTTGACATGTAGGTAGGCACCCACTAGGCAATGCATATCCATGTGCCACAGTTGGGGTGCTGCTGCACGTGCGCACGTGCAGGGGTCGATTCCAGATCTCGAGAACGGCTGGACCGATTGCGCTCAAATTTGGTACACGGTTACGGAGCAGTTAGTAGGGTGCCGTGCACAAGTCAGTTGGGACCCATTTTGCACGCGCGCACGTGCAGGGTGCCGCTTCCAGATCTCGAGAACGGCTGGGCCCATTGTGCTCAAATTTGGCACATCGCTAGAGACCGGTTAGTAGGGTGCCGTGCACAAGTCAGTTGGAGGTACCCCCTCGCAATTTCGCACGTGCAAGGCCCACCCTCTCGCTCGATCCGTTAGTCGCCCCAAAAGGCGTTATACTGGTAGTAGGGAAGTAGGTAGAAGTATAGGGTAGAAGTGATTTTTGTGAAACATGCAACCATTGACTTTCGGAAGTAAATAGATAATCCTTGAATTGAAAGATAATTTGGAACTTTGCTTCGGGCACCAATAAGCAGTAGAAAAATGCTGTTCTAACGAATAGTGTTTGTTTGGCTATTGAACACAAACCTTCGACTATGCGTTTCAAAAATAAGAGAACGCAAAAGTTAATAGATTCAGTTTGGCTAATTTTTCTAAATGGATGTTTGTGCTCAATTTCAAGACGCAAATCCAAACTCGAAGAAAACAAAGTCTAATAAATGGCCAGTGAAGACATTTCACATTTCATATATTTGACGCCATGCGTTTTCTCCTGTTGCACGTTTTCTCTCGGAATAGCAATGATACTTGATGACGTTTTGTATCAACCTGGCGTCGCGACAGCACAATTCATACACAACACGGCTCCAAAATTAAGAACATTGAACATTGTGTGTCGAGGAACAATATCATATGGCCTTGATAATATCGGCGACCCGTCTGGCCGGACCGGGACAGTGCCGTTTCATGGCTTATGCCGTCCCGGCCCCGGGGAGAGCTGTGGGATATCTCCCCGGGTCAGGGAGATCTAGTGGATACTGAATGTATTGTCTATGTATGCCATTACGGGTGGCAGTCTGCAGGGTAGTGAAGCGCTTCCCCCGAGTTACGCACCCGGCACCTCACAAAGCACGCGTGGCCCCACTTCCACAAATTAGCGGTTCAGCTCGGCGGGTGGTACAATGGTACATCCGGCGTGGTGAGGCCGCCTCGACCACTCTCCACTGCCGACCTCACATGGGTCTTAGGGGCGGGGGCCTCAATCTGCGGCCGCCGCCCAATCTTCTGACAGAGCTGTCATGTCTGATCATGCGCCGGGCGGCCCGGTTCACCCGTTTATTTTTGGCAGCGCTGTGGCCGAGTGTAAGTGAGCACAGCGCGGCGACTGGATAAGAGATCACGAGTCGGTTCACTTAAAATAGGTGCACGAGCATTCCTAATCCGCATCGTCCGCATGGGGGCATGTGAATCGACCCGACAGGCCGGCACTCCGCCGTCCCGTCCGGCCGACCGGTCCCTCTCAAGTGGGACCGGTCCCAGGTTTGCCCGGATATGGGGCTTAGGCGCGGGGGCCTCAATCTCGCACATTTGCATCTCTTGCACCTTTAACTGTCCTCTCGCTATGACAGCTTTTTTTTACAAAACCGCAGGCTAACAGATCCCAGCAATCAACAACCGCGAGGCATCTGATGACGTTAACGGACGTTTTCTCATTGCACTGCAAACGTTAAATCCTTGTTTTGTATTTTTATCCAAGAAATTAATAATCAAGCTTTTAGCAATACAAATTCTAAATTTAACACAGTTATCCACTTGTATTATTTATCACACTATGATATTATCCCGCGCCCCACTGGGGTCTGCGTATAACACGCCCTAATGGGGGGGGGGCTGGCTCTTCATAGCCCCCCTCCTAACTCCGAAACTGCCGGGTCGATGGTCAAAAACCAAACGGCGTCTGATAGCCCCGGAAAAAAACTGTCGGAAGATACCTAATTTCATTGACCACGAGGTCACCGATGACGTCACAGATCAGGTCAAAGTAAAAATTAATAGCATGTTGGCTTGTTCACATTTTGGGCTCTGGCCGCCGTCTTACAAGACAGATCAGCTCATTTTTGGTTTACACACTCGTGAACAGATGCTTTAGATACCCTGAGGGTACCAAACTTGTACTTTGATTTTTAGGTCAGGGTCAGGTCATCACAGGTCACGGAAATCTTATGTAATGCGTTGGTCACGTGACACATGTTTTATGGTCCATTTAGGCCATAGATTTTGAATTTGATGTCGTTTGTGTCATTCGAGGTCATTTTCAGTTGAATTTAGCTTAGGTCAGGTCACTTTCAGGTAAAAAATGTCAAATTTTGAAGTTAAAATTTGTCATCAATAAATGTGTCTATTGGATGCAGTTTGAGCTCAGGAACACGATGGTGCTACTTATATTGGTGTGCGATGTCAAATTCGTACTGAAAAATGTATTTGAAAAAAATTATTATTGTTTTTTTTTTGCAATAATGCGTATAACTTGGCTATTTTTGAAGATATTCAGCTTAAAGTTGCTGGGTTATAAGCATGTGGTTTATCTTCCGTTTTTTTTTTCGAAAAGTAAAAAAGTTTTTGAAAAAAATACAAATATAAATTTTGAATTTTATTATATACCTATGATTTACCAAATTTTCAAAATTTTGAAAATCCGAGATAGTAGTTTGATAGCGCAGTCTATTCTGAGTCCTCTCATGCAAAGAAATTGGATCTTTCTTAAAAAAAAACTGAGCTCTTGGGAGCGATTGCCGTGGTTCAATGTTTTGCGTCGAAATCGGCCGAACATGACGTCACTATGACGTCATTTCCGGCCAGCCTAGCTATAGTAGGTACGAAGCTCATATTTTGACACAAGGTGTCAAATTGATGCAGCCGAAGGTACTGAAAGTTTGGCGTCGATACGTCAAGCGGTTTGGAAGTTATTGCAGAAAAACGGGAGGGGGGCTATGAATAGCCCCCCCCCCCTCTCCCAATGGGGCGCGGGTTATCGATGCAAATTTCACGTAATCTTTAAACCGATACCAAACCAAGCACCAGCCAGAACCATGCGTAAATACACACAAAAGCGGAGCAAGTCGTGGAATTTAGAGAAAACCAACTAAATGAAAAGCCGGAACTTAAAAAGTTGTGTGAAATATTGTAAATGCAGGCATAAACCAATGCTATAATTCCTGATAGTCATAGAACATGCGTTTGACGGCCATGAAAAACTGTCGAGCGAAATTTCATTCAAGAGACCTCAATGTTACCGCTGACGTCACAGGTCAGGTCAAAGTAAAAAAGATTGACATTTAGCCATGTTTACTCTACGAAGTCTTGATGCCGCCAGGTCACATCAGGCTCATATTTCATTATCACAATCAGAAATGTGTGTCGACGATATCATACGTGGGTACCGAACTTGCGCTTGGTATGTTTCAGGTCAAAGCTAGGTCGGGCTACGTCATAGATTGTCAAGAATTTTTTTAAGGCTGGCATAGGTGATTTCAAATACGTTTCATGGTCCATTTTGGCCATTGAATTTGAAAATAGTGCAGTGTGTGTCGTCCAAAAATGACTGGTTTTAGCAAAGTTCAGGTCACTGTCAAGTCAAAAAGGCCCAATTTTGAAGTTCAAAGTCTTCAGCAAAAAAAAAAAACTCTAAGTTCCAGTTTAAGATAAGTCACACGACGATATTATTTGTTTGGATGTACGATATTAAAAATGTATTGGAAATTGCAATTGAGTAATTAAAAGCAGATACCTTAGCCGTTCTTGAGGAAATCGTGCAAAAATTGTCTAGGGTAAATCATCGCCTATGTGGTTTAGCACATATGTGCCGTTTATCTACTATACTATTTATTATTATTTATTGTTATTATTAGTGTTAATATTATTATTATTATTATTATTATTATTATTATTATTATTATTATTATTATTATTATTATTATTATTATTATTATTATTATTACCAGTAAAACGCCTTTTGGGCGAAGAACGAGCGAGCGAGATAGTGAGCCCTGCACGTGCGCAAGGGCGAGAGGGTACTTCCAACGGGCTTGTGCAAAGCACCCTTCTAATCGATCGCTAGTGGTGTGCCAAATTTGAACGCAATCGGCCCAGCCGTTCCTGAGATCTGGAAGCGGCATTCTGCACGTGCGCACGTGCAAACGGGGTCCAAACTGACCTTTGCACGGCACCCTACTAACTGGTCCCCAACCGTGTACCAAATTTGAGCGCAATCGGCCCAGCCGTTTTCGAGATCTGGAAACGCCCCCTGCACGTGCGCACGTGCAGTAGCACCCAAACCGCAACACATGGGAAAGCATTGCCTGGTGGCTGCCGACTTGTATGCCAAGTTTCAGCGAAATCGCCCCAGTTATTATCGAATTATTAAAATGGGAACAAATTTGACACCTCTTATTGTTGTATTTTGCACGTGCACTGGGGGTGACCCACATGCATCGAGAGTATCCTATTTTTGGTAGAAGGGATGCAGCTACCCTACAAAAATTACCGCAAGACAATCGCCCAAGCGGCTGCTGAGATATGAGCCTCTCAAAATCACTACTTTTGCAAAACAGCTTGAACACCCTTGACTTTTCACGTGGCACGTGCCCCGACGGTCACTGAGGTGTATCAAAAGTAGTCAATTACGGGGTAGAAGGAATGGGGCTACCCAGCGAAAAAGACCGCAGGCCAATTGGTCCAGCGGTTGCTGAGATATAAGCCTCTCAAAAGCGTTACAGGCCGGGCCGGGCCGGGCCTGTAACTAACCGTTCCGTTCTATTTCGCAGGTTGTCTTGCCAGCACTCGCAGGAACGTTTCAGCCTTCAAGAGCGGACAGCGTTCAGACTGATGATCTGGCCAGCCCGAATATCACCCTGCCTCCTGTACAGCCTCTGCCGGAGAACTCCAGCTCAGATGTGCGGTGCAGAGCTCGTCTTTTATCGGGCAACAACAGATCTGTGAGTACCGAAATTGTTGCTCAATGGCTCGCGGGCTGCAACATGCAACTCTTCACGGCTGCGGCGTGTCGTATTACGCGCGAAACATGTCGAGCCTCAAAGCAGTGTCAAAATGGTTCGGTGATCTTTTCAAAGGATTTTAGGAAGAAGACTGCGTTGTTGTTTAACCATCGTAATTAGTGGGTGGTCTCGAGCTGTAACAATTCGGGTAAATGTATGTACTACATACCTAGGCACATATTATAGTTGCATGTGAAAATATCATGTTGCAGGTAGACCGAATAGTATGGATTCACCTCTGCTGTGTTAGTGACAGGCCTATTTTTACAGGGTGGATTCATAGATCTTTCTGCTGGAGTAATAACAGGAGGATCAAATGGCAGACTAGGAAACAACCTTATGGAATACGCCACCATTTTCGGCATGGGAATCAAGTAAGTAGTTTCGTCAAACATGCACAGAGTCGCAATTTTACACTGTCGTGTTTGACATGTGTCCAGGCACGTTTAATTTACTTCTTGTCTAGGAAAGTTCAACTCGGGGTGTTGAACAGGCACTCAGCTCATGAAGCTGGTTAAAGGGACTATCCCACCTTTAACATGGGGTTTGAGTTGAGATAGCCAAGTTTGCGGCGAGGCTCAGAAACCACTATCTATCTAGGTTACAACCCCCGCGGCCTCTTGGTGTTGAAGAAATTCGTTCCCTTCATTTGAAAATGGGCCTTGTACAAGGCCCTATCTTCAACATGGAGCGACCGTTAGTGTGACGTCACCTCGTTTAGTCATTCTGATTTAAATGGGTTTGTTCGTTGAAAAATCGCTTAAAACTTGGTCTGAACTTTGTTGTGGTGCCTACAGAGTAAGAAGAATCAGCTTTATGACAGTAATGTGGCCTGGGGAAGGAGGTAATTTTGGGCTGTGACGTCACATATTTGAAAGTTTGTGTTTGGAATATGGGAAGCCTAAGACGTTTAATGAAAAATAAATGCCAGAACCGTGTTCCTGGTCATCCAATATATAAAGTCGGGCACAATTTAACTGGTTTTAACCCTATTAGTGGCAGGCTCCTGGCTACCCCCTATTAGTGGCAGGGGGGGGGGGCTGTTTACGACCCCCCCTTGATATCTCGAGATCTAACGGGCCGATTTTCAAAACTCAAACGGCATTCGATTTCGCTCAACGTGATCTACATTTCTAAGAAATAAAAATTAAAAAGTGTCAATAGGGGGGGGGTAGAGGGGGGTAAAAACGGGCAAATTGCAGATACATTTTAGACTGTTTATCACGGCCAGGTTTCTGAACCAATCTTAACGCAACTTTTGCCGATCGATAGAGAATGAACCAGGAATTCACATGGATCCTAAAAAATATGCATTTTCAAAAATCATAGGCGGATACAGATCATTGAAATTGGGGGTGCACAAAAAGTATAGTAAATAAGGTTTTTGTTGGTACTGTTTCTAAAAAGGGTGGTAATGGTCTTGTTATGTTACAATTTTCTTATGAGAGAACGACTACAATTGTATTGGTCATGCATAGGCGGTGTCAGGGCACCTATGTTGGAAGGTAAAACATAACCCCCCTTTTTGGACGCCTGGATCCGCCTATTATAGCAAAAACGTGTCAAAAGAGGATGCACAATAACTGTATATGTTATCACATGATACCTTTCATTCACTGTTCGTAAAACTGGTGCAGCATCGTGATCTTCGCCCAAATGACTCGCTTCACGAATAGGACCCCCGAATTCCAAGTGCTCTGGAGCCGCCCCTGGTAAAGTTATGAACTTGAAATTTTCAGGGAATGTGCCCAATTTAGTTTTAGGAAAAGTCAGAAAATTTCAGCATCGTAGCTTCAGCGGTTTTGGAGATATTCCCGAAAAACCTGAGGGGTGGATAAAAACAACCCCCCTGCCACTTAGAGGGTTAACAACATTTTAGAAGGTGGGATAGTCCCTTTAAATGAGTTCATTTTGCATATCGTTCGATTTAGCAGGCATTTCTGAGTTCGTTGCTCGCTTCCCTCATCCCTGACCCTCTAGCTCAATTTCATCGGGAGTTCTTGACAGAAAACGCAATAATTCCGAAGCGACTAAGGTAGCAACAAGCGACTTATATAGTAAAACAAATCATTTGGTGTTGCATAGAGTGTACGAAGTCACGGCACCAGGTGCTGGACATATTCTTAGATCATATCCGGCGTGAAATCCATAACAGTTTTCAGATTCCTCCCCTTCCCCTCTGGCCTATAATGATGAAGCCACGTGACCGTCCTGACCCTCATGTGACTTACGAAAAATCCGAGACATATGTACAAGTTGTAAGATCTCGGGAGCTTATTACGTTCAGTGTCAGTCCCCTGCGGCAGATTCTCTTGTGTGGTATACACTGAAGGCGTTTCGAGGTTACGACATTTTGGAACCATGCAGAGGTAGTTCACTTATGTTGTGATGTTTCACAATGTTACTATTCACTTATAACAGTGACGTTATCTGACCTGAACATGTGGCTAGTGTCACAAGACTTTTCTTGAATCAAATACGTCAAGTAGCTATGCCAAATGCGAGAAAACCGTCAGGGTGATGTCCCCTAAAGATACCTCGGCCGGCGCGGGGTAAAGGTTGTTTTGCATAGGGGAACTTTAAATTCAGACTTTTCTCACATTTTCAGGGTCATATAATTTGATAAAGGCTATATCTCTTCTCACAGATCGTCTCTCATCGTCTCATAGGCACCTTCACATAACTTGGCCCAGATGGTCCACAACACATGGCCCATTCTTCGTAACTTGAGTGTAACATTCTCTCTCTCAGGTGAATTATTCTGCCTGAATATAGCATAACACCCCGTTTCTTCCCCCAGGTACAATATGACCGCCGTGGCAACACCGTACCTGCTTCGCCGGATAGCGCGAGTTTTTCCACATACATCCATGCCAGTGGTATCGGACGACTGTGTGAAAAACTTCACAACCATTTCTCCAGAAAACTTCGAAGCGATGAACGATACTCAGAGAAGGAAGGGAAAGTGGAATATTTCTTACTACTTGCATCGAATCAGAACTTTCTGGTACTATCGTGAAGATCTTTTTAAGGAATTCCGATTCAGGTATGTCTAGTGAGCTGCTTTTACATTTTATTTACCCTCGCCGGCACAGGCCATTTTGAGTCCTTCGACGGCACAAGGGTACGGTACGGTAGGGGTACGGTAAGGGTACGGTAAAAAAGTGGTACGGTACGACCCCCCCTCGCGTTTGGCCCCTGATTGAGCTAGAGCTTCGCGGAAAAAACGAGCGTGTTGCCCGTCACGAAAGAAAGCCAATGATATCCAATTTTAAGGTCTTAGGTCATCGGTTCACCTTCCAGGTCAGGTCAATGACCCAAAAATCGGGAATATCGGGACCTGTTAGAAAGTCGTAAAGTGTGGCTGCTAATGGGTTTTCCGGGGTGTTGATCACGAATATCGTGTTAGTTTTGATCACAGATGATGTCGTTACGCGTTTAGACCAGGTCGGGTCAGGTCAGGTCAGGTCAACCGGTAGGGGTCGTGACGGGTATTTGTAGTACCTGGCATCCGTCTCTGACAGCTTCGTAACATGTTACGAAGGCACCAAAACTACTTCGTAAATGTTGAAATGGTTGCTAAATTCGAATTCAGTTAAAAAAAAACTAGCCTAGAAACATGTAAAACTCGAAAAAGTGAACCGAGGTCACCAAAGGTCAATGACCTGACCTGACCTTCAGGTGACCTTGACACCCACCCGAATGCATGGGAGCAACATCAAATCACATGTTTGAACGTTTGAAACCACGAAAAGCTTGCAAACGCGCGGCTAATGCGAGCCGACATACGCGGAATCGCGATTCCGGCCAAACATGGTCTCCGAAAGGAGGTCACAGTTCAAAGGTCATTTGGGTCAGGGTCATGAAATTTTTAGGGTAGGTGTAAAATTAGTCAATGCGATGGTACTGAAAGTTTCGTTGCAATCAACCGCTTTTTACGCGAGCTATTTGCGAAAAAGCTTAGGGGGGTTGCATCAACCCCCCCCCCCCCTGTGCCGGCGAGGGTTAATTCATTTTCATCATTTCATTTCATCATCTTTATTTCAACATCCTTGACGCACACATACAACTGCATACATGGCAATACATGTGAGTAGGACAGGGGAGCAAACTGGAAACCTTGGTGATTACACAGAGACGTACAGGCACATATAGCAGTCATTCAGCCGTTGCATTGTAATTTGTAAGCGTGACAGGTCAATAATCTAATGAGACCCCAGGCGCAACGCAAACACCATTTTGAGCCATTAGCCATCGTAGTGAGTCGGTTAAGCCACAGGAAACTCTAGGAGGTACTAGCCAATTCAGATGACATCATTCAAAGGACATTGATTATCAGAAACACTAGACGTTACGCTCTCTTAAATAAAAACAACGTATATAAACAACTTGAATCTAAACATCAAAGTAAGAAGTTAAATAAATGCAGCAAAATATTGTAATTAAGTACTTGAATCTCAATACTGTACTTCAAGTGTATACGGTACCCATGACGTGACTTGCCTTGGCTAATGTACATTTTGTAACATTTAACCCGCGCCCCGTAGGGCGGTGGGGCCGAAACGGCTCCCCCTGTCCTTTTCCGTCGATAGCTCCTAAACGGCTGGAGATATCGCCACCAAACTTTCAGGACCCTTCCGGGCATCAATTTTACACATTGTGACCAAACATTTTTCCAGAGGCTATGATAGGTTGGCCACAAATGACGTCAGAATGACGCCATGTTCTGCCAGATTTCGACCGAAAAAAGACCTTCGCGAGAAGAGCTGTCAGGCCTACAGGTTTGAAGATACAGAAAAATGATTGAAACATAAAAGGTGTAGAATTGACAGGACTACAAAACTGCTATCTCGGATGTTTGAAATTTTTGAGTTTTGACCCCCGAAATTCAAAAAGCATTTTTTTATATTAGCCAGAAAATCCAAAAAGTTTTTTGAGTTTCGAAAAAACAGAATATATGTGATATAACTTACCGTGTTCTATCTAAATACCAAATTTCAGATCAATATCTTGTTTTTTGACCAAGTTATAGCGAAAAAAAAGTGTTCAAAAATGATGACGTCAAATTTTCAAACTAAATTTTTGGCAACTCTAAACCACGTATGGCATAACAAAGACCGCCATTAGACTCCCCGTGACGAGCTGCATCGAATGGATACCCATTTTATGCAAAAATATCAACTTTGAAATTTGACCTAATTTGACCTGACCTTGACCTGACCTTGACCAAAACGTGACCTAAGCTGGCCCCAAAGGCTGCCTGACCCACATAGTCGCATTTTTCATGTAAAATGGACCATAAAACATGTATCACACGATACTTTCATATTGTGACCCCCAGTGACCTGACCTCTGTGACCTGATCTGGGGTCAGTGACCTCAGATAGCGAAATATGTGTTTGACGAACAAAGTCCCATCGATGGTTTTCAATAACTTACCAATTTACTCGATTTCACAACACATTTCTTGAAATGCCTGTGAACGGTGAAAATCTGACCTTTGACCTGACCTGTGACGTCATCGGTTTGACCTAGGTCAATGAAATTTGGTCACAAGGTAGTTAGTTCCCCGATGGGGCTATCGAACGCCGTTTGAATTTTGAAAATCGGCCGGTAAATTTACGAGATCTTAGGGGGGCCGAAACGCCCCCCCCCCCCCCCGACGGGTGGTAGGGTCCGCCGGTAGCCCTACGGGGCGCGGGTTAACGAATTCGCCTACCGCTTATACATAGCTATGAGCACACGATGTCCACAGGCATGACCTGACGAAGTACGCCAACGTGCGCCTGCACAGGGTGGCGGCCGGCAGGAGTGACGTCACCTTTGTCGGAGTTCATGTTCGAAGGACAGACTTCGTCAAACATATGCAGGTGAAGCCGACGCCTTTTTCATGTGTTCCTGTGCCGCAGAGTACTTGATCGAGGCGGTGTCAGTGCATGGTAGACGTTACTAAGCAAGGGCAACGAGAAAATGAGCGCATTGGCTGTAACGAGACATTTGAAGTTACACTATTTGTGGTTTTTGTTAAAGATAATGCTGGCAAAGCTGCAAATAAATATAAGCCCATCTTTTTTTCGTTCGAGTTCCTTTGCTTTGACTGCTTTTAACTGAGGTGGCTTATCATACGATATGTTTTTGCAGAATTTCTTTCACGGTCATCTAGTGAATGCGTCATTCTTTCACTCTGCGATGAGCCTATGCAGGAAGCGGTATAATAACCCAGCATTCATCGTGACCAGCGATGACAAACAATGGTGCAGGTAAGCATGTAAGCAGAAAAAACTGTCTTGATTTGCCCGGGTCGTTGGCTGATAAGCCGATGTCTTTGCCAAGTATGTTCATCCTATACCCAGCTGGATTTATGGATAGATGGAATGTACCTGATATTCACACTAGCCGTTTTCACGATGACCATCTGGTAAATATTTGGTGCACATTAGGTGGAGATTTGGTGCAGATTTGGTCAAATTGGGCTCAGTGTGTTTCCTAAAAGTTATCAGTGCGGGCTGCTCAGATGCTTATGCCTTATATACCTTATTTTCGAATTATCAGATTTTATTAGCGATTATAACACTAAAATAAATTCATGATGCGAAATGTCAATCATAAAAAACATACGATATGTAATGTAATAGGGAGTTGGTGCAGCTCTCGTCAAATTAGGTGCATAATCACAGTTAGCCCGGAGTAAAAACGGCTACTGCCAGATATTTAGAAATAAACGTTTTATGCACCATGAAGCATAGTTACATTTTTCATTTCTTAGAAATTTAGTCCAAATGGTTGAATAGTTGACAATGTACATTAGTGCCCCCCGCGCCCTACTGGGGCCTGTGTATAACACGCCCTACTGGGGGGGGGGGGGGGCGTGTTATACACAGGCCCCAGTAGGGCGCTTGTATCCCCCTCTTAACTCCGAAACTACTGGGCCGATCGTCAAAATTCAAACGGCATCTGATAGCCCCGGAAAAACTGTCGAACGAAACCTAATTTCATTGACCTCGAGGTCACCGATGACGTCACAAGTCAGGTCAAAGTAAAAGTTATCGATATTTGGCTTGTTCACATTTTGGGCTCTGGCTGCCGCCTTACAAGTCAGATCAGGCTGATTTTTGGTTTACACACTCGTGAACAGATGCTTTAGATACCCTGAGAGTATAAAACTTGTACTTTGTTTTTCAGGTCAGGATCAGGTCATCATAGGTCACGGAAATCTTATGTCATAAGTCGGTCACGTGACACATGTTTTGTGGTCCATTTAGGCCATATATTTCGAATTCGGTGTCGCCTGTGTCATTAGAGGCCATTTTCATCTGAATATAGCTGAGGTCAGGTCACTTTCAGGTCAAAAAGGTCAAATTTCAAAGTTAAAATTTTTCAACAAAATATATCTATCGGATGCAGTTTGAGCTCAGGAACACGATGCTGCTATTTATATTGGTTAAGATGTCAAATTCGTACAGAAAATTGATTAAAAAAATAAAATTGTGAAATTTTTGCTTTAACCCTAGAACGCCTAGGTTGTATCACCCCCCCCCCCCTGAGGTTTTTTCGAAGTGCACGCTAAACGGCTTGTCGTAGCGGGCTGAAATTTTCAATACCCTCTGGGGCAACCTTTGCGCATCTTTTGCCGAAAAAAAATTGATCGGGTCATGTCAGGTCACGAAGTTATGACGTCATAAGAGGTACAGCCTCCGGCCGGATTTTCACAAACTGAGTGCCAACGCCCGAGGTTTCCTGCCGGTGGTACGGACATCGCGGTTGATGGATCGTGATGAAACTTCCCATGCATGTTGGGGCAGGTATTGGCTATCATATGGTATAAGAAATTTGACCGGGTCAGGTCAGGTCACGGAGCTATGACGTCACAAGAGGAACAGCGTCCGGTACTATTTTTGAAAAGCGCCCGAACCACTATTTTGCTAATTCTTGTCACCTCAATGGGAATATGCAGCAATATTAGCTTATATAGGGAGCAAATGGACCTCCCAAATCCAAAAATACAATCAGATTTCAAAAATTTAAATTTTGATTTTTCGAATTTCTGCCGCCGACTGTGACCTTACCGACTTCCGGCGCTCCCAACGCGCCATTTTTAGAGCTAGGGAAACGAAATACATACCAAACGATAGAGAATTGATCAAGGAACACGATAGTGAAGGTTTCAAGTCGATATCTCCCACCGTTTTGCCGCAATCGCCGCCGAAATTTGAAAAAGTCTATTTTTCCGAAAATTTGACCTTTGACCGGTCAAAAGTAGGTCAAATGTTGACCTAGGACCAAAAAATATACCACCAATCGCGAGATCTCGTTGAGAGCAATCCGTTGGTTTTTCCGCTAAGCTCTACGACCTTCCGTTTCGAAACGCCAGGGGGGGGGGTCGTAACAACCCCCCCTGGTCGTTCGTGTTATGAGAAATGGCCTGGTCGTGCGAGGGTTAATGCGCAATGCGCATAACTTGGCCATTTTTGAAGATATCTGGCTAAAAATTGCTAGAGTAAGTCATAGGCATGTGTTCTATCATATATATTCCGCTTTTTTCTTCAAAAAGTCAAAAAGTTTTTGAAATACTATAAAAATACAAGTTTTTAATTTTAATATATGCAATTTTCAACATTTTCAATATTTTGAAAATTCAAGATAGCAGTTTGATAGCGCAGTCCATGCTGAGTCCTATCATGCAAAGAAATTGGATCTAGCTCAAAAACTGAGCTCTTGGGATCGATTCCCGTGGTTCAATGTTTTGCGTCGAAAAAGGCCAAACATGACGTCACTCTGACGTCATTTCCGGCCGACCTATGATAGATACGAAGTTCAATTTTTGACACAAGGTGTCAAATTGATGCAGCCAAAGGTACTGATAGTCTGGCGGCGATACGTTAAGCTGTTTAGAAGTTATTGCAGAAAAACGGGAGGGGCTATGAATAGCTCCCCCCCCCCAGTGGGGTGTGGGTTAAGCGGAGCTTGCTACGTTGCCAAAAGAACCCGCTGCACCCGACCTGCGCTGGTAAGTACGCATATTAAAGTGTTTTTCCCTGCTGCAAATACGTTTCATGTTTGGTTGTAAATCCTGAGAGCCTCACCTGATTATATTTTTATTTTATAATTCCATCCATCGGATACGGCTTAATTTTAGATAGTAGAGACGAATCACTCAGAGCTCTTGTGAAAGTCCTGCGGATGACTACTCTTCGTGGCGAAAAAGTCATCAAACGGCTTGCATGACATCTATATCGGTCAGAGATATTTATCATCATCATCATCATGTATTCTTATGTTCGTCCACATTCGATGGCTTTTCGGAACAAGTGTCAGGTTTACATAAAATCAGGTACCTATTAAAAGTAAAATATGCAGCATAAAAGTAAGATTGCACCCTACACTAAAAATATTAAAATACACATGAAACACGCCTAAAGGTTATCAACACCATTTAAAAAAAAGTATCAGTGTCCTATTTAGGTGGAGGTCGTCAGCCACTTTCTCGCCCTTCTCCGACAGACTCTGGCAGAGCGGGACTCTCTCACTTCCGCAGGAGCGCGGTTCCAGAGTGAGACAGCACGACAAAAGAACGACTTCCGTGCGTGTTCACTGCGCACTCGAGGGATCTGCAGCGAGCCGGCTAGAGAGCCCCTCGTGTCCCTGGTGGAGACGTCACTGCGGTGTGCGATTTGGGCCGTGAGGCCGGTTGGCGCTTGGTCGTTATTGAGCAAGTAGCGCATTTGCGATGCGTCGCGCTCGGCCACAAGGTTGTCGAGTGACGGCCACTCCAGTTTCGCTAACAACGGCGTGACATGGTCGCGTCTCCTCGCCCCCTTCACCACCTGCGCACAGTGGTTTACCACTTTCTGTAGCCGATGGCGCTGGGTGGCGTTGCAACCAGCCCATACAGTAGAGCAGTAGGCGAGATGTGGAAAGATGAGCATTTCTACAATCATTTTCTTTACAGACTCCGGCAATTTGCCAGCCATTTTTGATAGGCCTCCGCAGTGGCGCGGGAACTTCTTCCAGACTGGGGGGGCTGAACCATCATAGAGATCAACCTAGGGTACCCCCAAATCTAGCTTTCTCATCGGTTTTAGGCCACTTATTTTTCAGACCTTGGCCTTTTCAACGAAAAAGAAGAAAATATTTGCAAAAAAGTGAGGTATTCCGTCTCAGCTGAGTGAAGAAACTAACGTTTTGGCAACCTGGAATAAAGGTTTAAGCTGCCAAATGAGTTGCCGAGTCAGTAAAATAGGTAGATTTTTCACTCACATGCTTTCTTCCTTTGTGACTCACAACTCCTAATTTGGGGAGGACAAGCTGCCCCAACGGTTCCTGGCCTCATGAAAAGTTGTGAGGCACCGCCCCCACGGCCCCAGAGTTGTGAGGGCAAGCTTCCCCCACTGCCCTCTCCCCCGGTTCCCGCGCCTATGTATGAATCTATGAAATTGTGTTGGTAGATTTCCGATTTCGATTCCTCCAGCTGGGGGGGGGGGGGGGGCTCAAATACATTACGAGCCCCCCCAGCCGAAAAGTTGGAGGGGCTCAGCCCCCCCTAGCCCCCCCGGTTCCCGCGCCACTGGGCCTCCGAGTGTGGCATAGCAGCGTCTGACTGTGCCAGACACATGCTTCTCAAAAGTCAGCCCTGCGTCTACATCCATCCCCAGCACTTTCACCGTTGAAGACGGTCTGATTGAAGCATCGCCAAGTTGAACAGAAAATTCAGAGGTTAACAACCTCCTGTTTGACTTGATAAGAATAAGATCCGTTTTAGTGGGGTTAATTTTTAGACTGTTTTCGTTAAACCAACTGTGCGCGGTGGCTACGGTGCGCTCAACACTCGCTTTCAGTTGAGACAGATCGTCGGGTCTACTCCGGTGCAAAA